GTGTAGGTGCTTGTGGATGGATCCTTGAGGGAGATGGGTGGTTTCACTTTTCTGCTGTGGGATGGCATAAGTAATCAGGGAGGTTAGCAGTGTGTCCCTGTCTGGGTGTGGGAACATGGAATCAGGAAATGCTGAGGTAGCCTGGGTGGAGGGACCGTCTGTGGGTGTGCTGAGGAGGCTGTGGTCTGGTGCCCTGCAGGCATCACCGATAGGGAATTGCAATGGATCTTATTGATGTTTGCTGTTCATTATTACTGTAAATAACAAGGGTTGTCCAGGGCTAGGAATGTAGCTCAGTGGTAGAATACTTGCCTAAGGTACATGCACATGACCCCGAGTTCAATCCCCAGCATAGCATATATGCATTCTTGTGCACACACTGAGGAGTTGTACAGAGCTGAACAAGTAACCCAGTGGAGCACCTCCTTCCTATGTGTTCTCTGCACCAGCCTTTCTCCTCTCCTTAGATAATCCACTGCTGGAACCAGGCTGTTTGGAACAGTGTTGGCTGTTTGTACATCAAGGACAAGTCCCTCTTCTTGTAGTTTTTCCCCAGTAGATCCTGTGGAGTTCCAGTAGTTTGGTCATTTTGCTGGTGGTGTTTTGAAATGTTGAGGCCTCTTGCACCCCATTCTCAAAGCATGATTTATCGGGGATGATCAATATTCTTCAAAGTTGAATGGAATATTCTGGATGTTGAGAGAAAAAATGAACTTGGGTTTTAATGATATCTAAACTTACAGAGACACTCCTGTGAAGGTTGAGAAATACCTGTGAGAGTGAGTTCATGCAGTACAGGCTTTTAGTCCTGTCTGCTTTATTCTGTGTGTAGAAAGGAGGTTGGGGGAGGGGTGACAAGAGAAAAATCACTGTCATCGTAGATTGTGTTTGGTTGCTGGTACTGCCAGTTGAGCCCCAAAGAGGAAACAGCATCATTACTTATGGTGGCAGGATTAAAACGAGCTCTTTGTTTTCTCTCTTTGTTTCTTGAAACAGGCCCTCATAAGGGACTGGCCTCTAATTCCCTATGTGGCCAAGAATGACCTTGATCCTGCCTCCACCTCCAGAATATTGGGAGGTTTAGGCATGTGTTACAGGCCTGGTTTGTACAATGTTAGGATAGAATCCAGGGTGTCATGCATGCTAGAGAAGCATTCTATGGGCCCAGTTACATCCCAGCCTCAAGCTTCTTGTGATGTATGTGCTTTTTAGAGCGTGTCAGAGCCAGCCTCAAGCTTCTTGTGATGTATGTGCTTTTTAGAGCGTGTCAGAGTGGGATCTCTTGAATCAGAGGTTCTGCGTATTTCTGATTATGATTTCAGTAGCTTAAATCTTTAAATTTGAAAGAGAAGATTGTGGACAGGATGGTGGTATGGACTTTGACTTCAGCCACCAAGGGGCAGAGACAGGAGGATTTCTGTGAGTTCCTGGCCAGTTTGGCTTATATAACAAGACTAGGCCAACCAGAAATGTGTAGCGAGACTCTGTCTCCCTCTCCCTCCCTCCCCCCTCCTCCCCCCCCCCTTTTCTTCTCTCCTCTGCCTCCCACACCCCAGGACAGTGGAAGACAGAAGAAGTGATGATACTTGGATTTTATTGGTCAACAGTGGTAATTGGTTTATAACTCGTTTTGCCATGTTTAGTTATTGATGTTTAATAAGGATCAGGAGAAACAAATAGGCCGAATAGATGTTTATTCAGGGAGAAATAACACACAACATGGACAGATGAGCACCAGCAAGTTCCTGGTCCCAAGGATGTCTCCGGATGTACTCCTGTCCCCATGCTGCAAGCAAGAGCTCTCCGAGCCCCCTCCTCAGCCTTAGTTCCCCCAGGTCATGTCCAGCCCTGCCTCCACCACCAAAGGGCTTGGTCTATGCCACAGGTGTGGACAAGGTGAATATCTCAGTACATTTAGTCTCCTTCCTTTTTCTAAATTTTATTTATTTATTTGAGACAGCTATTGATTGCATGTGGGGTTTAGGTTGTGCTGGTGATGGAGCCCAGAGCCTTGCACATGCTAGACAGGAGACCTCACTGCAGCCACATGATGTGTTAGTTTCTAAACTGTCCTCTTCCAAAACAGCAGCACCTTCTGGGTTTATCCTCCTGGACCATTCGCAGTTTGTCTTCAGTGCTGTGACTGTCTCCTCACCACCTGGGACACATTAGTCACTGCAGGCAAGAGTTACATTTGGATGCTAGAGTTCATGGTTGGAAGTGTGATGAGATAAAGAGGTGCTGCATGGTTTCAAAACCTTTTCCTGCCAAATGAATATCAATGACAAAGGGAGGAAAGACAGTCATACCCTAGCCAGCAAGGCAGTGTCTCCTGATGGGTGGGATACATGCACAGGGTCATCTACTATTTGTGTTGATACTTGCCAAGCACACAGGCTGACTTGAGTCATGTGGGAGCATTAGGCAACTAGTCTGAGGGATGATTTGTAGACAAAGTGGCCAGTGTTTCTAGGTGTCCATCATAGCCAAACTGGCCTGGGTTGGAGAAGATATCATGACAGCAGACAGCCCAGATCCCTGGACCAGGAAAAGTACACCAATGATGGTAGTTGGCAAAATTTGGATAGGGTTGGCAGTTAAATAATAGGTTCTATGTTGATAGATCTGTTCTGACTATGGTTACTGTAACTGGGAGGAAGGCGGTGGACTTGGGGGTCAGAAGACCCAAGACTACATTTGATGGTCCTGTAACTTTTCTGATGCTTACATCTCTCCTCTGTAAGTCTGGACTTGTTGCACTGGCACATCTGGAAATGTCCTTGGCCTGCAGACACCTATCCATGACTGTATCTTTAACCACTCTGTCCACAGTTGAGAATGTGCTTTGTTAAAGACACCTGTGACGATGGTAGCATTTGTCAGTGTCCTGTATTAGAGAGCCTAATGTTTGAATTTTTTTAAACATTTATTTATTATGTGCTTGTGAAGGTGCATATGTGTCATGGCACATGTGTGGAGGTCAGAGGACAGACACTTTGTGGGAGTTGGTCCTCCTCTTCCACCATGGGGGACCTAGCGATCAAATCCAGGTCATCAGCTTGCTGGCAAGTGCCTTCACCCTCTGAGCCATCTCACCAGCCTAGGGCTTTTTGTTAGGAAGTTTTCCCACATCTTGTTAGTTCAGAAAAATGGATTTTTTTTTTTATAAACATCTTAGCCCTGTTGGATGTGTTCCCCCCCAATCTACCAGATACTTGTCTCCATTTAGTATTCATTTATTGTCTTCATTTCAAGTCATTTGGTATAAATACATATCAGATTTCATTTAGAAGAAAATCTTATGAGACAGAGAAACAAGAAAGTGTGGACAACTAGTGGGGGCATGCGTATGTAGTATTTTTCAAGCTTAGGCTGGACCAGGTATCACTATTCTTGTTTCAGCCCAGTATCAGCAGTACTTTCCTTAAGTCAGGAGTGGTTCCTGCCTTTAACAACAGCCCAAGGGAGGAGCGCTACAAATTTGAGGTCAACTGTATCTTCATAGTAAGTTGTAGGTCAGCCTGGGGAGATATAGTGAGAACTCATCTTAAAACAATAAAAAAAAAAAAAAAACAGACAAAACAAAACAAAACAAAAAAACAGAACTTAACTTTTTTTTTATTCTTAAATTGGCTTTGAGTTTGGCTGTGTTTTGGATGTCAGTCCTCAGGATGGAAGGTATGCCAGTGTTCCGTTGGTCTAGGAAAATTGAAGTATGCATGTGAATTTATGTCTGGAGAGGGAGCTCCTGAAAGCAGCCTGGATCAAGGGTAACCATTGGTGATTTGGGGTGAGGGTCTGTGGGAGTTTTTATTGGATCTCAAGCTTTAGTTATTTTCCTGGCAGTTTCAGACAGACTGACCAAGGGAAGTTGAAGTGTCTGGGCAAGTGAAGAGGGTGTGTGTGCATATGTACTGAATGACCCATTGACTAGGCACTCACTGGCAAGAAATTGTTCCTTTAAATGTAACCTTTCTTCCTGAGCCAGAATACAAGTCCTACTGGATAGAAAAAAACCTGGATAGAAAAGAGCCTAAGCTACTGCCGTGTAAAAGCTCAAGGAAGTTCTACAGGTGAAATCAGACGATAGGTAGTTTCTGTTGGAGGGTGAAGGTGGTTGAGACAGGATTTAAAAGTATTATTATTTTATGTGTATGGGTATTTTGTCTACATGTGTATCTGTGCATCACATGCATACCTAGTGCCTGAGGAGGCCAAAAGAACTGGTGTCACAGACAATTGTGAGCTGTCCTGTGGGTATTGGGAATCGAACCCCAATCCTCTGGAAGAGCAGCCAGTATTCTTAACCACTGAGCCATTTCTCCAGCCTGAGATAGGATTTAATTAATGAAGTTCGGGCTAGCCTCAGACATACAGTCATCTTAGCTTACCCAGCTCCTCCTCCCCGTGTCTGGGATTACAGAGAGGTGCTACTGCACTTGGCTCAGAAGTCAAGCTTTTGAAAAGATTATTTATAAGGTGTATACAGGATCAGGGAAAAGGCAGAGGCAGAACCATTAGGTCCTCGAGACTCCCCTAAGGCTCCCCAGTGCTCAGATCCTTCTTGATGTTGGGGAGAGACAGGCTGCTTGGCTATAGTCTGTTTCCTCCCGGAACTGGTTTTAATTTACCTTTCATTTACTATTTAGTTACAAAAGCAGTAATTTCTCTCTCTCTCTTTTTAAATTCCCTTTCCTTTCAGCTTTCCTCTCTACCTTCTCTCTCATCCTACTCTCCTTTGAGACAGAATCTTATGTAGCCTAGACTGAACTTGCTATGTAGCTCACCCTGACCGTAAACTCCTATCCTTCTGCCTCTAGCTTCTCTGCATATAGGTTATAGGCTCATGCGCCTGGCTAATATTTTGTTTTCTTTGTAAATTTGCACATATGTATTATCTTTTACTGTTCGAGAAGAGTTTTCTAAACTACACCACTTTGCTAACACTTGTTCCCTTTCTTTCATGTCCATGGTGACACCACTTTCTGGAACTCACTCAGGAGCCAGCCCAAGGTAAGAGTTCTTCACATGATGCTTGGAGAGATTGCTATGCATATCCCTGAAGTAGTAGACACTTTCTTCTCAAAACTGAAGACTCCTCCTCCGTGCTGGTTTATAATAAAAGCAGTGTAAGCTTTTGGCTGTCCCATGATTCCAAAGCTATTTATTGGCACAGACAGAGCTGGAGGGCTATGGGGAGCAGTGACTTTGGCCAGCTCTGCCTAGTCTCCTAGCAACCCAACCCAGATTCCTTGTGTGCCATAGATTAGCATGAAACTGAGTGTTCCACACTGTGCTCATTCTGGGCCAATCCAACTCGTCTTGCTCCTAGGTAGTGGGGTGATTTGCCAGGCACATGGGGTCCTGATGGAGCCAGGTTGGGCTCCAGATTCCTCTAGGGGCTGTGGCTTACATCTCACATTGGAGCCTAATTCTGAGACCACCCATAAAGTTTTAAATTACATTTTAAAACTCGTGTGTGTGTGTGTGTGTGTGTGTGTGTGTGTGTGTGTGTGTGTGTGTGTGTTGCATATCCACAGTACATGTGTAGCGGTCAGAGGACAACTTCCAGGCACTGTTTCCTTTCTTACACCATGTGGGCACCAGGGATTGAACTCAGGCTTGGTGGAAGACCCCTTTATTCACTGAGCCAACTTTGTGTGGGAGTGTTAACCTCTTTGTCTTCCAAGGTTCTTTAATTTTAAAAAATGGTTTATTTTACATGTCTGAGTGTTTTGCTTTCATGCATGTATGTGTACCATGTGCATGCCTGGTGCTCATGGAGTTGAGAAGAGGATCCCCTGGGACTGGAGTTACAGATGATTGTAAACTACCATGTAGGTGCTGGGACCCTTGTCCTCTGCAAGAGCAGCAAATGCTCTTAACCACTGAGCCCCCGTGGGTCTTATTCTGAGTTAGCATGGAGCCTGCTTTTAACTGAACAGTTTTCTGGAGTTCCTCAGAACTTCCAGGAAATTCCGCTTGTCTACATTCTTGGACTTGCTTTTGTTTTACAGCCTGTGGTTGAGCTGTAACTCTATGCTATTACTGTTGCTGAAATATGTGTAGACATGCCTTTTGGGATCCCCAATGACCTTTTAAACACTGCTTTAATAAGTCACTGATCTCATGTTTGTGAACTTTGCCTCATTTTCCCTGTGAATGAGGTGCTGGGTTAATTTTGCTATTTATTGGAACAAAAGCTGGAGACCAGTAAAGATGTGAGGAAACTATTTAACAGCATTAAAAACTTGCTATGTTTTATTAGTGAATTGTTCTCACTGCTTAGAGAAAATGCTCTGCAGATAAAATGTCTGGAAGGGGAAGACTACATCCTTAACAGATTGCTTCCTCTGGGGGAGAGGCGTAGTTGGCAAATGGGAGACCTTCATTTATTTATTTTAAAATTTATGGATTTATTTTGTGTGCACACTCATATGTTACCCTGTCATGTGCAGGCTATCTATGTCAAGCACTTAAGGGTCAAAGGACAGCTTTTGGGACTCAGTTGTTTTCTCTCATCAGTTGAGTCTTAAGAACTCAAACTCAGCTCATCAGGCTTGGTGGCAAGTACCTTTACCCTCTGAGTCATCTCACTGGCTCTGTGTTTGCTTTATATTCTTCTATAGAATTTGTTAGCGTGAATATATTTCTTTGTTTATATTGAAACTCTTTTTGATTTAAAGAACCTGTGTTTACTTAGAAAGAAGGGAGCAAGGGAAAGAAGACAATGGGGGAGGTGAAAATGAAAACAGCATATGCATGGGATGGCTCAAATGCAAAAGGAAACCCACTGCTTTGTATGCTCACTAATAATTTATAATAAAAAAGCAGTGGACCTGGGTATGGGGTGCCACACATCTTTAACCCCAGCAGTTGGGAGGCAAAGGCAGGTGTGGCTCTTTGGGAGTTTGAGGCCAATCTGGTCTCATAATTATCAACAACAACAATAACAACAAAACCCAAAAGAGCCCAAACTCATCTCAAGAAATAGTATAGTATAGTATTTGCTGCTTATAATGGAAAGCTCTAAAATCATGAAAACCACTCAGATGGACGGCCTGCTTTGTGCGAAACCTACTTCTAACTTTAAGATCCACAAGTTAGTACAATTAATCTGTTTGGTTGTTGTGGCTCAAATCAGGCACCTTGTACATGTTAGACAAGTGCTTTTACCATTGAGCTACATCCAAGCTGATTCCTAACTATTCAACATATTGTTTTATAAGGAAGCAAAGCATACTCATTAGCAAGAGAAGCAAGCATAGTCTTTGGAAGCCAGTGTCCACTGTACAATATTTAACAAAGTGGGCAGGCAAGAGGATAATAGCTACATATAAGGGCTGTTATCAGAACATATTTGACAGTTGTTAGTATAAAATACTCATTAATTTGTATCTGCGACTGGAGCATGCACGGATATAATGTGATTATCATTTTATGAAATTTTGGGCTAGAAGGTATTTGTAGTAATTTACAAAATTGCTAAAACTGAAAAGGAAGCCACTTAGTAGTTTTGGTAAATAAGAACTACTATTTACTAGTTTTCAGTTCTGTAAACAAGAGTCCCAAACTTCTATGACGTTTGCTTTCTTTGATTTAAGTTGTACTATGTAAATGCTGGTAAACTTGGATTGATACATTAAGGGGGGGGAGACAAAATGGGGGGAGAGACAGAGACTAAGAATATTAATTACTGAAAGACCCTGCTAAGGAAACCAAAGGACCTAACAGTAAAAACATACTTTCTTTTTATAGCTGCACACGCATAGTTGCTATTGTGCGTGCCGTCTCACAAGCTTCCTTTTGATTCACTATTGAAGATGTTTTCCATGTAAGATGGCTCTACATCACTATGAGATTATATGTATCACTAACCCCTATACTCTGACATCAGGTTTGGTGTTTATCTGAGGGGTTGGGCAGCTGAAAGCTGATTGCAGTGTAGTCCAGGCTGCCCTGAAACTTGGCTATTCTCTTGCCTTAGTCTCTCAGGTGATGGGGTTACAGGTTTGTGCCATAAGGCCCGGCTAGTAAGTTGGGTGACAATGCTATGCATTATTATAATAGCATGTGTGATGTTAAGGTTTTGTTCTTAATACACACTCTTTATGTTCCCTCTGCAACAGATATTTGCTTATGATCACTGTTTCTGGTCTATGGATGAATCCGTCCGAGAGAAGTATGCAGGTAACTGCGTCCTTTGTAATTAGTAACGTGGAGGCATTTGGTGTGTTCTGCATCCACTACCATGGTATTATTTGGTGTAACTTTTAAACAATGTCCAGGCAGCTGTTACCAGCACTTGCTATGAGATGGCTCAGATGGTAAAGGTGCTTGTACCTAGTCTGATGACCTGAGTTCAATCTCCAGGACCATGCAGTGGAAGGAGAGAACCATCTGGTACAGGTTGTCCTCTGATGTCCACACACATGACAGCATGCATATGTACATGACATGCACATGCAATAAAGAGAGAAGATTATTGAATCTTAATCATCAACTGTAAAACAAGCAGCTCTTGAGCTCTCTGCATTGCATGGTGTTACTTGGGTGGTGGTGTTCAAGCATGCGTTACAGGGAACCCTCTACTGACTCTTCTTCCCACTCTAACTGGAATGACCTGTGGGACAGAAGCTTCCAAGCTTAAAAATCTTGCTTCAGGATAAATAAGCAGAGTGGTTTGTTTTATTGAGTGTTTTGTTTGATTTCTAATTTGTTCATATGTTCTTTGCCCTTAAAATATAATTTTCCTGTTCTTTAGGTCAAGATGATGTTTTCAAGTGCCTTGGGGAGAACATCCTTCAGAACGCATTTGATGGCTACAATGCCTGTATCTTTGCTTATGGGCAGACAGGTAATGTGAACTAACACATACTCCACATTTGAGCATCCTTCCATGAAGATGATGAAGCCATGTTTACTAGGCTACTTGCTTTCTTATCCTGAGTTAGTTTTTCTCACAGGTGATTAAATTAGGCAGTAGCATGTTTTCTAAGACAGTACAATAAAGTTGAGACTAAAATCATTTTTCTTTATTTCCCCTTTCCCCATGTGAGTTCTTCTTCTTCTCCTCCTTCACCTTCTCCTTCTTCTTCTCAGTTTGCAGAGCTATGACTATCAAGTTTATTATTGGCTGTGTCTCTGTATTACAGTTTTTTAAAGAATCATTACAGAGAGAAAATACTACAAAGAATCCACTTGTGGTGCTGGAGAGATGGTTCAGTGATTAAGAGCACTTGTTGTTCTTCCAGAGAACCTGCCTTCAATTTCGAACACCAACATGGTGGCTCACAACCATCTCTAACTCCAGGTCCAGGGGACCTGAAACCCACTTCTGGCCTCTGCCGGCCTCAGGCATGCAAATGATGCACACACCTGTGGGTAAAACATAAAGTAAAAAGTAAAAGAAAATATATTTTTAAAAGGACACACTTGTTAATATCTTACTGGTCATAACTGGTAAGGACTCTAGGCATCTATACTTTGTAATTAAAGAAAGAAAATGAATTTAAATGAAACTAGTTGCTTTTTTGGGCAAGGGTTTCAAGGCAGAGTTTCTCTGTATAACAGGTAGTTGCTTTTATAACAATTCATCATGTGACCTGTCCACCTGAACATTCCTTTTCATAGAACAGTGTTTAGGAGTCATGTGTGGTGTGAACAGAAATTCTGAGCCAAGCAGTGGCAGCTCCTCTCTTGCCCCTGTCTCTCACCAGTTGGGCCTTTCTGCCTCCTCATTTCCTCATTGTGAAATGTTGATACTTTAGACCCTCTCATAGGATCTGCATAATGAATTTTGTTGTGCTCTCTTTAGGAAGGGCCTGGAATGTCAGAAGTAGAGCATTACTTTTAGGTATTGTGAGGTGACACAGGTGACACAGCAGCAACTTGTGAGGTTGAAAGCACACAAATATCGCAAAGCCATTTGGTACCAGGAGGGGCAGATAACACTTAAGTGTCATGTGTTGATTCTGGGTGGTAGTACTGAAGTGGTTTCATTTGTCTGTGTTTTCTGGTCTGTCCATCGTCTGTTCCTCTTTCCCTTCTTTCTTTTGATAGGATTTCCCTCTATAATGCAGCCAGGCTTTAACCTTGCTATCCTCCTGCCTCAGCCTCTGGAGTGTTGGTAGAGATGTGTACCATCACAGCAGGTAAAGAAATACCTATTAATTAAAGAATATGTATTTCTGTTACAGTGGAGAAAGTGCTTACATATTAGAGGAAGATTATTTCTTGTTCTGTGCACTACACCTGTGTCTTTTGTGCTTTGATTTCAGTAGTTAGGTATTTTTATGATAACAGTACTAATAAGATGATTCCTAGTTTACTTAGAATACTTTAGAAATCTTGCTATGTTTTAGGTAATTTTATATTATTCAAGGAGGATCCGTTTGTCTTGTCTTTTTTTTTTTTTTTTTTTTTTTTTTTTTGAGACAGGATGTCAAGTAGTGGAGGTTGGCTTTGAACTCCCGATCCTCATTCTCTGACTCCTGAGTGCTGGATTAGAGTTGTAGATATCATTAGAGGTGTAGGTATCATGCCTGGTTGGGTTTTATTTTGCTTTGTTTTGTTTTTCTTTCTAGACATGTTTACTTCTGTTTTATACAAGTAATAGAAGCTTCTGTATGTTCCATTCTTATTATGCTTGGATGCATTTCCTCTTCATGTATGTGTATATTTATTACATTTTGCTAAGTCCTAAAAATTTATTTTAAGTAGTAGAAATGGGGTTAAACGCCTTTAAACTTCTCCAAGAGGTAGTGACAGCTCCTTTTCCTTTTTCAGGGTCTGGAAAATCTTACACCATGATGGGCACAGCCGACCAACCTGGACTGATTCCCAGACTCTGCAGTGGACTCTTTGAACGAACCCAGAAAGAGGAAAATGAAGAGCAGAGCTTTAAAGTCGAAGTGTCCTACATGGAGATTTATAATGAAAAAGTCCGAGACCTTCTTGACCCCAAAGGGTAAAGCACTTAGAGGCTTGAATGATGTGGCGTTCTTGAAACAGACATAATAGATTGGCTTTAGAGAAGTCTGTAACTGAACTGTAGTGGAGAATGATCTTGCCATGCTGTTTGTGATTTATGTTTATGGGGTCAGCTTCCCACAGCCAGTTCTGGGTCGTTAGAGCAGGCAGAGCAATGATGCAGGCAGGTCTGCACGAGTGCCTGTGATAATGCAGGTCTTCACGTGTGCCTGTGATGATGCTGGTCTGCATGAGTGCCTGTGATGATGCAGGCCTGCATAAGTGTCTGTGATGATGTAGATCTGCATGTGTGCCTGTAATGATGCAGGTGTGCATGTGTGCCTGCCGAGCAGCCTTCCCTTCTCTCATCACCCAAAGCCACAGACAAAACAGAGGTGGCAGGAGGCAGTCATTTAATATGAGTTTGACTATAGCCTTTAGTGATTCAGCTTTCTTTTTTTAGGCAATAAATTTTGGGTGGATTTCTGTGGTTGGTTCCAGGAGGGAGGAAACTGGGAGCTTGGAATCTGTTCTTAGGGTAATTAATCTGAAAGTTCCCCCCACCCCTCTCAGGGTAGGAAATGCTCCTGGTTTCATGGGGTTAACTTTTGAAAGAGAACTGCTTCAGAGAATAAGGAGGCCCTCAGAATCACTTTGCTCACCAGGTAGCCACATGGAACTGAATGAGGAGAGAGAGAGAGGTAGCTGCAGTGGGGGTGGGGGCAGAGGAGAGTAGGAAGCAATGACTATGGCTGTTGCTGGCTCATGTGAAACTACATTGACCAGGTCAGAGAGCCATGTGGGCAGGGCTTGAAGCCCAGGAGCAGATATTTATACTTTGATGAGGTTCAGGAAAGGTGGTGTGAGAGACAGAGAATCCCAGTGAGGCTCAATTAAGAGCAAATGGATCTCAGGCTCCCAGCCATCTTTCTTTGGTTGATAATGATCTTCAGGCTAGAGCTTGAGTTGACACTTGATAGTCTGTCCACACTTTACCTATCCATTGTTTATCAAGTCATTCTTACATGCCAGGCACCATGCAGTTCAGAGGAAGAGACCCTAGTATGGAGAGAATGAGTTTTGCAGACAAAGGCATGTAGTCTGCTTTTCACTTGTGAGGGATGCTAACACAAAGTACAGTGTAAAAAGGGAAGGAGGGACTTTCCCATAGCCAAGAGAGGATTCCGTAGAGGAGCTTGACGGTTTGTCAGCTTAGTAAGAGTTTTTGCACTGATAAGTGAGGCGGGAACCATTCATGTGTAGACACCGACCTTGTGGAAGTGTATGGACATCACCCACAAAGTGATCAGCATCCAGTGCAGCTGGAGGGTAGGGCATGTGGAAGCCAGAATGTCACAGGGTCCCACATATGACCACTCACGCTTTGCTCCCTGTGCACTTTTTTATTCTGCCTTCATGCTTTTCTTGTATTTTGACCTCTGTGAGAGGGCCAGTTTCTTTGAGATCTAGTTCAGACCTACCCTTCCCAGGGAGAGTCAGCTGGCTGGCTTCATAGCTGTTCACACCTGTGTTTTATGTCCCCTGTTGGACTGGCTTGAAGTCTGCCAGTCAGATATGTTTAGTCTTTAGTGATTTCTTGTTTGTTTTGCACATGGCTTAGTGCTCAGAACACGAGCTTTGGAGTCACACAGCTCAGGATCCAGGCCCTCTTGTTACTGGTTGAGCAAGTTCCTTGCACTTTGTAGGCAAACTACACAGGGAATGAATAATGTTATCACACAGTATCCTACAGTATCCCAGAGGGCTGTTGTGAAGATTGAGAGTGTGATACACCTGAGATCTCAAGACTTCTGACACATAGTAAGGCCCAACATGTGCAGGCTATGGTTGTAAGGAGTACGGTCGTACTCCTTACATATGGTTATGGGTTTCTTTGTTTTTTGTTTTAATGAAATTTTCTTGAAGATTTAAAAAAGTTTTCTTTTTTTAATGTAAAAACTTGTGTGTGTGTGTGTGCGCGCGCGCGCACACACACACACACACACACACACACATACACACACGCATGCATAAATTGTGTTTGCTGTGAAAGCATGGGAACCTGAATTGGATCCCTAGAAACCATGTTTTAAAAAAAAAATCCCTGTGTGATGGTGTGTGCTTGTAACCAGTATTGAAGAGATAGAAACAGGCATATCCCTGAGGCTAACAGGCCACCGACTTAGCTAATCATTGAGTTCCAGGTCCTAGTGAGAGACCTAGTCTCAAAAGATAAAAGTGAAGAGCATCCAAAGAACAACTCTTGAGGTTGACCTCTGACCTCCATAGGTACATCCTTGTTCATATACACTCCTACACACAAATGAAAATACACACATACCCACCCATATACATACACATATAAACAAAAAGGGAAAATGAAGGCTAAAATTTACTCACAGACTATGTTGTGTTGTAAGAGGTGAGCAGCAGTCCAAATCCTGTGCTGTGTCTACTTTAGCTGAACGCACACCATATTAAAGGACCACTTGGCGTCGTCATTTGCATTCATGTAACATTGTAGGTTGAATGTAGGATGCTAGAAGATTCTGAATCATTAGGAAATATTAAACTGTGACCCATATGCTGAAAGACAGTAAAGGTTTTAGATGGCTGAGCCATTTCCTAGTTCCCCCACTCCCTCAGTACCTCTGTTCACTTCCCATGGTGGGCGAGGTGGGTATGGTCCCAGGTTCCCTGGGATCTCAGCCTGTGAGTTCACACTATTCCTTCCATGTGCCGTCTTGTTTTATTGAATCTCTTAAGCATTTATTGGAATGGTCATACTTCTCCCTTTTCCTCTGGTGTGTCAGCGTGACAAAGTGTGCAGACTCTCCTTGTTAGAACAACCTGACAAGCTGTAGATAAGCTCAGCATTGTGTCTTTAAATCACTGTGAGAGCTGTTTGTTGCCTTTTGTTTCTTTGTCTGTTCACAGCTGAGATGGGCCTGTGGTTTTCTTTTTTGTGCAGTTAACACTTACAGAGCTTCTGTCTTGGGGCTGGCTCTGTGATATGACAAGGAGATTGTTGGTATTTGTTCGACTTTACATTCTTTGTGGTAGTAAATAGACTTCCCACGCTTACCCTTTTGAGCGATGTGGTATTTACCACATTGTCAAGCTTTTTTTCCCAGCAAGGGTTTTAAAGTTAGGTTTAAATCCTTGTGGGATGCAGTCAGCTGCTCTTCTCTTTTAGGGGCTTCTTTCTTGAAGGAAATCTATGTTTGTTTCTGTGAAGCACAGTTGAGTCATTTTTAAAAAGGCAGTCACTAATGGATCGTGTCTCTGTCATGAGCAGAAGCCGTCAAACGTTGAAAGTGAGAGAGCACAGTGTCTTGGGACCCTATGTGGATGGACTTTCTAAACTGGCTGTCACAAGCTACAAGGTAACAGCATTTCTTATATAAGCTGCTTCAATTTACTGTGACTTTATTTTCTAGAATTTTCATTGTTTTTGCTTTGTGTGTTTGTGAGTGTTTGCCTGCATGTATGCCTGTGTGCCTGGTGCCTCTGAGGCCAGAAGAGGGCATCGTATCCCCTGGAATTAGGGTTACAGTTTTGTGAGCTATATGTGGGCGCTGGGAATTGAACTCAGGTTTCCTGGAACCAACTTTCTAGCCCTGGGCTATATTTTTAAAATTAAATTTACAATGCCATCATTTAGTAACTTACTTTCTACAAAAAACTTCAAAGCAAGATAGAAAGAAGCTAGTCAGTAAATGTCAGCTAACTATGATAGAGCCTCTGGGTTATCAGAACTAATGGATTCAGAATGGGCTTGGGAAAGTTCTGGAAAATGTTTTGCCTGTGGTGATATTTTGTAGCTAATGATTTTACTTTGTGAATATTTTTTTTGTGTTGAAATTTTTACTAAATATCATTCTTTTTAGTTTATACATAAGTATAATTATACAACTAGGAAATTTTTTATTTATGTTTGGCAGTTTTAAGATTGTATTCGGATATATATATCATTAAAAAAAAGCAGGATTTTAGTAATGTTTCTGTGTGGATTATTACATGTTCTGTTGTTATGTATCCTTAGTATCTAGGAAGTACCTGGCATATGGTAGATGTTTTCAATATACGTATGAGTGAGTGATTTAACAATGCTTTTCTGTTAAAAAAAACAAATCTGAAGTAGGTACTCTGAGGCTGGTGTCGTGGCTCCAAGCTGTTGATAGGAACCTCAGGCCCTTTCCCTATCCACAGGGAGATGCTATAATGCCCAGGCTCTGCTAATGCCTCTTACAACGGAGCTATGATGGCAACCCTACTTCCATTAAGGAAGATCACCCAGATGGTCTGTGTTACACATTAGTTAATTGTGTGTCCACGCTGGGATGCAAAGACATTTGGGAAATGCAGCCTCTTGGTTCTGCCGCAGCAGACTTAGTGGAGGAAAGGAAAGAACACTGGGTGGTAGGAGGCTGCTGGGTAGTACTTTCACATACTCTGTCTCTCTGAGTCCTCACATCACAAATCCTTGTAGATGACTTTGCTATGTGTGTGTATTTATTATTGTTTGTGATGCCAGGGGTTAGACCCAGGACCTTCTCATGCTAAGTAAGCCTGTCGCTTCTGGGCTCCATCCTCAGCCCAGAAGATGATGATTTGTTTTGTAATTAATGAAACTAAGGTCAGACTGCTTCAGTCACTGTTTCAGAGCTTGTAGTTTTGGGGGTGAGGGAAAGACAGGGTTTCACTGTGTTTACCCTGGATGACCTAGAACTCCTGTGTAGACCAGGCTGGCCTCTGGCTCCCAGAAATCCACTTGCTTTGCTTCCTGAGCGCTGAGAGTAAAGGTATGTGACACCAGGTCTGGCCCCAGTTCTTGTAACATGGAAAAACTGAGCCAGCCCTGGTAGCACAGCCCTAAACCTCAGCTCTTTAGGAGGCTGAGGTTAGACTGTGCAGGGCGCCCTTGGTCAAGGCCTGAGTAATTTAATTAGGCCCTGTCTCAAAAAAGTAAAATTAGAACTAGAGATAGCTTAATGGTAGAACATTTGTGTAGCATGTACGAGGCCCTGGTTCAATTGCCAGAACTGCCCCCCTCAAATCCATAGCAATTTTTCTAGTATTCCTGGCTTTATGCTAATTTTTAGAGCAGTACCATCAAACATACACTTAATGTGTTTGGGTAAAGGGTTAAAACTTTTATTTTTTGCTTTTTATATAATTTGCTTTAATAAAATTAACTTGTATTACTTTTGCAATTAATTGTACTTAGTTTTTATTTGGGAGGGATTTCTGTAGTAGGTGAATGTCAGCATCTCATCTCACTCAAAAGTATTTTTCAGATGTGCACGGCACACCTGAGATGCGGTACTATGGAAGTAGAGGCAGAAGGATCACAACTTTGAGGCTAGCCTGGGCTACATAATAAATTTGGGGCCAGCCTGGGCTACCTTGTAAGATTCCCATCTTTGGGTTGAGGGGATTTAATTTCTAAACTTTCTATGTCAAAGCTGCTATTCCTATCTGTGTCTGCAGTAAATAATGTGCTTAGTTGTTTGTCAGACACAATATGGGCTGTTATATTCTTGCCAAAAAACAAAATGTAACCTCTAAAACTAGGGTGCTTGTGGTAGTATGGGAGAGTGGTCATGTTTATTAACAAATAACAAAACATGAGCCTGTAACATGTTTCCATTTAGGATATTGAGTCTCTGATGTCCGAGGGCAACAAGTCTCGGACAGTTGCTGCAACCAACATGAATGAGGAAAGCAGCCGGTCACATGCAGTCTTCAAAATCACCCTGACACACACACTGTATGATGTCAAGTCTGGGGTAAGTAGCTCCTGAAGTGATCGTGGCTTATCCTGTTCTCTTTGATGCTAGCTGAGTTGAAGGCCTAGTCTAGACTGTCAGTCAGGAGTAGGGTTCAAAGGTCTAGACTAGAATAGAAGTAGCTGTAGGTAGCTGTAGTGCGGTTGGAATACCTCAAGAGGGCTAACAGCAACTCTAGGAGTCATTCCTAAAACCACAGGGGACACCCACGGCTGCAATCAGAAATAAAGAAATTGCTACTGTCAGGGCAGCTGCCTTGTAGCACCCTGGAAGCTGTAGAACACCCTGAAATACTTAAGATTTCATGACCTGCCGATGGTAGAAAAAAAAGCCAGGGAAGACAGTTGACTTCTGCTTTCCAGTCTTTAGCAAGAGGGTCTGAAAGAACTTGAGTCATATCCTGAGGCCTGGCTGCAAGGAAGTCTTGGACAAGGCCTGGTTCCCTCCCTCTCCAGAGAGGGGGCAGTGACCTGCCCTGCCACACACAGCAGCTATGCATTTAAATCTTGATGAATGATTGCAGTAGATATCTTTGCTGGGGATAGCTGCTACAGCCTACATCCGGGAAGCATTCTGTAAAATCATTAGACTGTGTAGGGTGCCCTTGGAACCTTGTAAAGATCAGGGCCTCTGCATATTGGAAACATCTTTGCTGACTCACTCCCTTCCTTCTCTCCGTTCATGTGAAGATTGATGCATGATGTCCACCCACTCTCAGGACCTCAGTTTCAATACTGGAACCCAAAATAATCTGGCAAGTTGTTCTATGTTGGCAGTGGCTTCCTCTGCTGAAAAATTACTTTTTTTCCCTCTCCATTACATCAAGATCAATGTTAAAAACAGAAAGATTTTTGTTTTTTATTTTCTTTTTTTAGCATAAAGCAAAAGAAAGCAAATAACATGCTGAAGAGTTTCTCTTTTTCTTTTTTTCCTGTTTTGGTTTTCTGAGACAGGATCTCTGCACAGCCCTAACTGTCCTGGAATGCACTCTGTGGACCAGGCTTGCCTCACAGAGATCCACCTGCCTCTTCCTCTTGAGTGCTGGGATCAAAGGCGTGCATCACCATTACCCAGCTACTTTCTTTTCTTAAAAGTATTTTTGATTTGGGAAGCAAAGTATTCTTTTGTTATGTTTATTTTATGGAGATTATATAAATGTATTTTTTGCAATGCTGAGGACAGAACCCAGGGCTTTTCATGCATGTTACATAAACATTCTGCCACCAAGCTACATTCTCAGCCAGGAGTTAAAATCAATTTTAAAGGGAAGTTTTCAAAATGCTAAAGTCTGCAGATTCTGACATTGATTTCTCATGTTTCCGTTTTGATAATGAGGTAAACTAGAAAACTTGTCACATGTTTGTGGTCTGGTGGCGGGAAACGTCACTGTAAGACCAAAGCTGATGGTAGGAAACTAAAGCTGATCAGCTTCAAGGAGGAAATGTTTAGAAAGCATTTTAGACTTTTTGAACAATTCTGTTACATAAAAGTCAGATCTTTTAAAAAAAAAAAGAAATTAATCAAGAATGTAACTATTTTGTCTCTAGATTACCAGCTAATATTTATGAAACTTTAAGTACAGTTTTGAATCATTAATTTTTTGATTTTAAAAACATTTTTGTTTATGTCTGAAAATTTTACCAATCTCCAAAATACCCCATTTTGCAGCATTTTCCCTTGTTTGCTAAAAAGTGGGTTAGCAAATTCTGTCAGTTTGGAGCTAGGCTTTTGTGCTGTGTGTGTATTGTTTTTTTCTGTAGTGTTTAGTAGCAGCACAGAATGTTTTTGCAGAAATGACAGATAACTTTAGTCAAGGCTGGAGATGGTAACCCATTTGAAGGAGTCAGCCTGTTTTCATCATTCATTAGCTGTTTGCTAGCATGTGTTGGTTTTCTTTGCAGACATCTGGAGAGAAAGTGGGCAAACTGAGCTTAGTGGATTTAGCCGGCAGTGAACGAGCCACAAAAACTGGAGCTGCGGGTGACAGACTGAAGGAGGGCAGCAATATCAACAAGTAAGCATCCCTGAATCACATTCTTGAATTGCTTTACAGGTTTGATAGAAAAGTGGGGTAACATTTGTGGGTATTGGAGTAAGATGATGCTGGAATGATTGAGGCAGTGATAAATGAGTAGTTTGGATCCCCCACTCCCCAGTGTTTCCCATGAGCCCAGGCTCATTTCCTCATCTGTGGAGTTGTTTGATTTGACTGAGAAGCACAGCCCTAAGTCAAGTTGGGGCTTCTCAACAATGGCCCTATTGACACTGAGGCTTAGATGACTCCTACTCCTTGTGGGTGGAGGATGCTGTGCATTGTGCGATATTTGATGGATTTGCTGGTGTCTACTCAGTGGTTAGTATCCACTGAGCCTAGTGATGACAACCCAGTCTCTTCCTTGTGACTTGCTGTTACCCATGGAACATAGTCTTCCTCCACTGGAGCACCACTGGCCTATATTGAAGACAAACCAGTGACAGACCATCCATCCGTCCATACATCCATCCATACATCCATCCATGCATCTCTGAGTGAATGTGCCAGCTACATTGGACTGTCTCCTTCTGTCTGCTGTTGTGTTATTAAAAGTGTCAGAAGCAGGACTTTATGAAGTAATGCTTTAGTTGCCAATGATACCACATATATGGTTCTTCCTCAAGCTAAATCATTACCTCTCCATGGGTTCAAGTTTTTTCTCTCCTCAGAGTTTCCATAGTACTGAGTTGAGACAGCAAATGGGGACTGTGGAGAACTTCTCCCATACTGGGATCAGACTAACCTGTGCAGATGTCAGTTTGTTAGCACTATTGCTTTAATTAGTATTTTACCTTGGGTATTGTTGGAGATGTCTGTTGTTTATGTTACTATCTTGACTGAAAGCTTTACAGTTCATATATTTTTATCTGCAAAAATGAAAGACAAATAGTGCTAAGCATTTTTATTGCTTCAAGTAGCACAGATGGAATGAGTCCTTAGGAGCTCAGTCTTCAGCTCACACAGCAAAGTGCTGACCACAGCGCTTTTCACATGCAGGCGCAAGGGCACCTTGCTGTACATCCTTGTGACTAATGTGACATTTGATATGTTTTGGTTTAGATAATTGTGGTTTGTGTTTCATGCAGGTCCCTCACAACCCTGGGTCTGGTTATCTCGGCCCTAGCTGATCAGGGTGCTGGCAAAAACAAAAATAAATTTGTTCCCTATCGGGACTCAGTTCTCACGTGGCTGCTCAAGGTGAGTCATTTTCTTGGTCCTTCATTAGCATACTTTCAGTGGTTGGCAGAAAGGAAGAATAAACAGTAGGTTAATCTCTTCCAGGTACTTTTTCTCCATCTGTGTTCAGATTTATAGCTTTTAAGCTGTTTAAGCAGTTTCAGTTTTAAGGAGCTTGGGCCATTTTTTCCTAGTGTTTGGCATTCTTGCCCTCTGGAACTTTCATGGGAAGGGGTTGTTGGATACACATTGGTCCCTGGAGATGGAGTGGGAACAACATCCTCCCTCCCTCCCCTCCCTCCCTCCCTCCCTCCCTCCCTCCCTCCCTCCCTCCCTCCCTCTCTCTCTCTTTCTTTCTTTCTTTCTTATCTCTGTGTAGCTCTAGATGTCCTGGAACTCACTCCGTAGACCAGACCTGTCTCTTTCTCCTGAGAGCTGGGACTAAAGGTGTGGTCACTACTGCCCAGCTATACTTAGGCTTTTAGCATCCTTTCTACATCTCTGCACACCTTTGAAATATTGTCTGCATAACTGCAGTAAGTTTGGCAGAAGTCTAATGCTAGAATTGGGCATATTGCTGTAATACAAAGATGGCTAAGATGTAGTAAAATGTGAAATTTTAAACAAGAGGCAAGAAAAAATTTGATAATTAAAAAAATCAATTGTAAGCTGGACATAACTGTAATCCTAGCACTAAGGAGACTGAGGCCGAGGTATTGCCTCCAGTTTTAGGCCAGATAGGGCTACATGACAAGATCTTGTCTCTTCTGACTCCTCAAGATTTACTTTTGAATGAGTACTATAGACATTTTACTACCAGGAACCATGTCAGGAATTAACCTGCATTGCTCATGGCTTCAGCAAGAGAATCTGATAAGGCTCTTCTCTCTCAGACCTTCACAGAGGCTTTTCCAGTCATGCATGGCCATTCCCTAGATGTGCCTGATTGGAAATCAGAATCTACAAGGTCCCTGTGACTTCAGTGAAGACAGCAGGCAGTCTCCTCTTGTTGGCTCATTTGGCCACCATTAATTACCAAGGCTGTTGCCTGAGTTTTAGGAAAACCTGGCATGTGTGCTCTGGCTGACTTATGTGAAGTTGTCCTCCTTAGTAGAGATTCACTGAGAGGCTGTCCGCTGACTTTTCCTGTTTTTGATCCCAAATAAGGAAGACGTCCATAGATGTGAAGAATGAGCAAGGTAGCCATTTAACCTGTTTTCTCATTATTTTTAGTCCATAATTGCAGCTTCTTTGCGGTGCCTCAGTTTAAAGACAAGGCATGTGTGTTTGGTTTCTGTATCAGTTTTTCCTTAAAGACTTGCATTATCTTTTCATGTCATGTTTGCCTTTTGCACCAAGAACCTATGTAGGGATTTAAAAAATTACTCGAGCTGTAGTAGTTTTCCCTTCCACCCCCACCCACTTATTTGTAAGTGGGCATTAGGTTGTTGCCTTGTTCTTCTTTAACTCATAGTCTACCCCCAACCCCTGCCTGCTGATTCCCTTTCAGTATTGGTGTAATATTAGCACATCCCTGGCATGACTTTCATTGAGCTCATAAAATGGTTCACTTAAAAAAAAAATAAAATAACTTAGCTGGGCAGTGGTGGCATATACCTTTAATTCCAGCACTCAGGAGACATAGGCACTTCAATCTCAGCACTCAGTGAGCTCAAGGCCAGACCTGGTCTATAGAGTGAGTTCCAGGACAACCAAGGCTGTCTTGAAAAACAAAAATAAGAGCAACACAAAACAAAAAAACCCAAAAAACTTTTCATAGTTTCTTTGTGAATTTCATATCATGTACCCCAATCTTTCCCTGTTCCTCTATATCCGCCTTCTGCCCTTGCAACCTCCCCCCTCACAAAAGAAAACAAAAAAGGAAATATAATAAAGAAATAAAAAAATTAAACAATAAAAATGCAAATTAAAGGGAAAAAGTCTGGAAGTAGAATCTGTAGGGTGTCACTCAGGATGTGCTGCCCAGTCTACCCTTTTGAAATGGCTCAGCTTTTAAAGAAATGGATGTGTATGGGGTGTGCTGAGATGAGCCTTGGGTGCCATTTTCAGGAGCTTTACTTTGAGCCAGGGTCTCTCATTGGGATCTGGGATTATAATTAGGTTGGGCTGAGTGGCCAGTGTGCTCCAGAGATTTGCCCGTCTCTGACTCCCCACTGCTGTGACCACAGGCATGTGCCACCACACCAGTTTTCATGTAGGTGCTGGGGTCACACTCAGGTCCTCATGCTTGGGAGTTACACCTTTTACTGACTGAGCTATCTCCCCAGCACTGAATTTTTAACAACATTTGCATGTTCAGTTTGTGTTTGCATGACATTTACTTGCTATTTGTGCAATGCACTTGATGTTTGTCACTGTCTGAGTGTGGATCTCTTAACCCCAAGTCTGCTAATGTGTGTCCAGCTTGCACTTTGGAGAGCTAACCCTCACTTTTCTTAATGTTAGTTCCCTAGTGGATGTCACATGATCTCTCATCTAGCTGACTGCCATTTCCTTTGTCCAATCCACTCTCTGAAATTTCTAAATTCACCAGAACTTCAAGTCTCTTCAGGAACAGTTCTCCAGGCCCTTAGAATCCTGTTCTTTAGTGAGTGGCTTACAAAGGCCCACTGTAACTGACCTTTCCTCCTAGCTTTCATCTATGTCATGGTAGATACTAGTTGAGTGAAGGTGGCTGTGTTACTTTCCTTGCAGGAATTTATTTATTTATTTATTTGCTTGCTTACTTATTTTTTTGAGACAGAATTTCCTGTGTAGCCCTATCTGTCCTGGAACTTATTGTAGTCCAGGCTGGCCTCAAACTCACAGAGATCTGTCTGCCTCTGGCTCCTGAGTGCTGACTGTGGGTCACTTCTGTCTCTCTTGCTCCCCTCTCCTGTACCTGCCAGTGCTGGTTCACTTGAAGGTCTGCGGTATCGTCTGTTGTGGGTTCTTCTGCTCTTGGTGGGAAGGCCCTGGGTTTAGCTGTTGCATAGCATTGCCTCTCCATCAGATGGCAAAGCCCATGACAGGACAAGAGCAAGCTGTTCCCACTCTGCCCTGAACCAGCACTGCCCTCTCTAAGTCTTCCAGCCTTCCTGGGACTCAGTGTCTTACCCCAACAATGATGTAATTCGATTAGATGACTTCAGAGTTCTTTCAGCCTGAAAAGAAAAATTCTGACTTCTAAAATGAAATTTCTTCCCAGTGTCCATTTAGCTTGCATCGCCACTTTTTGAAACAAAGCTAGTCTGATTTGCTTAATTAAAGAGTAAACAATAAGCTGTAAACTCTCTCTTGGATGCCTGCCCATTCTTTTGTTACAGTTTCCTTTTTGTTCAAGGCAATATGAGCATATTGGTGCTCCATGGTCATTTAGTAAATCAAGCATGGGTGCCAATTTCCTTTTCTCAGCCTCAGCACTGTGGCTGCTTGCGTTTGGCCCTGACGGTTATGGTTACAAGTCCCATTGGTCGTCCATGTTTGCTGTGCCCATGGGCACACTGCAGTAGCCCTCAGTGGGCGAGTGTGTGGTAATGCTGGTGGGTAGAACTGCAGTCTGAGACTTTCCTGTTCCATCTGAATGTCATTAATCTGCATGGGACTCTTCTGACAAACCTGGAGCATTGACAGTGGGACATCAGTGTCTAGGAGTGAAAAGAGAATCTAGCAGCCTGGCTTGTATCCCCAAAAGTCCAGATTGGTTACATTGGCTACATTTCCAGCCTTTCTATACATGAGAACTTACTTTCTTCAATATAATTACCTCTGTTTTCTTTGAAAAGCTAAATTTTCAGTAATGGGTGAGTAAGCATACATGTTGTCTGTGATTGTATTGGGCTGTTGATGCCTTGGAAATTGATTTTGTTTCTAATATCAGGACAGAATAATTTGGAGCTGTGTCAGCCCTCAGTCCTGAGGTTGCTATGGTTGCCAAGAGCTTGTTGTGGGGGAGGTCTGTTTGGAATTGAAGGTGAAAACACCTGGGGTAGAGTATTGCTCAATCTGTTAGTTCTAGATTGTTAGGCAGGTTGTTGATGGTTTTTTTTTTTTTTTTTTTTTTTCATTTTTTTTTTTAGAACAAACCCGTTTTCTCACTAGTAGAGTGGGGGTAATAATTGAATTAAAAATTTCTAATATTTTATATGTATTAAAATTGGAAAAACTATATTTCAAAAGGTGAATATTGGCCAAAGTCAAGTCAGCTTACTTGTGATGTAGCAAATGTTTCTCTGAATTTTGAGACTCTGTCATTCATTGAGATTGCATATTTGAAAGGGGATATTGATTATGTGTTCATGTATGTGTGGGTTCTTGTGCATGTATATATGCATGTGGAGGCCATATGAACTTTGGGCATTGTTCTCAAGCTCTGCACAGCTTTAAAAACATGTTTAAAATTTTATTTGTAAGTGTATGTTTGCCTGTGTGAGTTTATATGCATTACAGACATGTGGGAGCAGCAGTAGGCATCAAGAGTCCCCTGAAACTGGAGTTACTGGCAGTTGTGGGTGCTGGGTACTGAACCCAGGTCTTCTGTGAGAGCAGTAAACACCCTGAACTACTGACCAATCCCCCTAGGCTCTTAACTATTTTCGAGACAGCGTCTCAGAGTTCATCTAGTGGTCAGGCTGGCCAGAGAGTCCCAGCAATCTGCCTTTTCTCCACCTGCCTAGCACTGGGGTTGAGTGCACGCTGTCTGCTTAGCTTCAAACTCACAGAGATCTGCCTGTCTCTGCCTCCCGAGTGCTGGGATTAAAGGTGTTCACTGTCCCTCACGCCCCCCCCCCCCAATAGGTTTTCTTCTTCTTTCCTGAAAAATCAAAAGATTTGTTGTTGTTTCGGGATTATTTTTTGTTTGTTAAGAAAAGTAATTAGAGCTGGGTGTGGAGGTGCACACCTTTAAATCCCAGCCCTCAGCAGGCAGAGGTAGGTGCATCTCTTGAGTTTGAGGCCAGTCTGGTCAACAAAGTGAGTTCTAGAACAGCCAGGGCTACTGAGAGAAACCCTGCCTCCTGCCACCCTCCTCAGCCCCTCCCCCAAAGAAAGTAATTGGCAGAGAAGAGACAGCCCAGGTCTGCATGTGAACCCTTTTTGTCCTTACTGTGCTTGGCTTTGGGCTGTTTAATCTTCCAGATTTCAGCTTCCTCATGTGACTTAAAAGACTCCTCACTGTGTTCTTCCTGGTAGGACAGTCTGGGGGGTAATAGCAAGACCGCCATGGTGGCCACTGTGAGCCCAGCTGCTGATAACTATGACGAAACCCTCTCAACCCTGAGGTATGCAGATCGAGCAAAGCACATTGTCAACCATGCTGTGGTGAACGAGGATCCTAATGCGCGGATTATCCGAGATCTCCGGGAAGAGGTGGAGAAGCTCCGAGAGCAGCTGACCAAGGCAGAGGTGTGAGGCACAGCTGGATGGGCTCTGTGTCACAGTGGGCCTTGGCAAGATGGAATGTGAATTTTCTTCCCCTGATTCTGTTCTGTTCTTGAGCAGTACTCTGCTAGGAACTCCCGAATTCCCTGTGGGAAGAGAAGTTTGAGTTGAGTGATAAAAGCAGGTTGCAATGTTTCAAATTTAATTTTTTTATGGCAGTTGAAAAGGACTGGATAAGAGAGAATATGGGGAGTAGGAAAATGTTTCTTTCCATTTCTGTCCAGGAAGCTGACAGACTAGAATAAGAGGGGAGAAAGAGAGACAGTGGGGACAGAATGCATGATTTAATTTTGTGCAGAAACTAACTGGGCTTACAACCATGGGGAAGGGAATTGGATGGATTTTTCTTCTTTGTTACCCTGTGGTTAGAACAGAAGGTAGGCTCACCTTTCCAAGCCACCCTTCCCTGTTACTGGTGAGCTGTGTTTGTAGAGTAATACTGTAAACCGTCTCAGGGTAGAAGTAGCCAGAGCTTGAGGTGTTCTGTGCAGCTGTCTCCATTCATTCTGTGGCATGCCATGCTTAGGTTCTGTAACAGGGTTTAAAAACCACAGTGCTTACCTGCAAGTGCTTTCCCTGTGTTAGCATGAAATGTCATACTCAGGGCGCTGCTGGGGTTAGTGTTTCTGTCCCAGGGACTTGTCTCTGGAGCTGTTACCCTCTCCTGTCTCATTAGTCTTGTTATGGTAGAAAATTGAGAAGCTACATGATCACAATAGTTACCTTGACCATGGTTTTGGTTTTTTTCCTGTTGAATTTTACCCTGATTTTATAGTTCTTCAAGAACCTTGGGGATGTAGTTTCTGGCTTCCCTTTATTAATAATAACACCATCTGGTCACTTCTCTGCCTTTTGGCTTAGATCAAGTGTTATTAACACTGTTCAGTCTGCAGCATGCACACATGTAACGTGTAGCTTTGAGTACATTCCTGAAATCACCATTAGAAAGAGTCTGAGATGTAGAAATGCCTGTGAGTCTACATGTGCAACCTATTGGAATTAAAATCATTAGCCTTCCATAAGGAGCTTGGCACATTTATTTCCTAGAAATGTAGTGAAATCCTCACAGTAGGCTAAAGGAAAGGGAAGAGTTCCGTCCTATTTCTGAATGTGCAGCAGCTAATTCTTGGGTCCGTGTTCCCCCCAGTACAGGTGTTGTGGTCTCTGATGGCCATTGACTTGCCATAGGTATGTGGAGAACTCAGTGGCAGGTGGTAGCTCTTGTCCTTTCACAGCCAGCTGGTTGGTCTTTCTTGGCACCAAACAGACATTTCACCAAGTAACATTTTGTTTTAGGCAATGAAATCTCCGGAGCTGAAAGATCGTCTGGAAGAATCTGAGAAGCTCATCCAGGAAATGACTGTAACCTGGGAGGAGAAACTAAGGAAAACTGAGGAGATCGCACAGGTTTGTGTTGGGGGCAGTTTGCTGTGGGACTTGGGTTGTGATGTGGCAAATGTAGCATATTATTTCTGGGCCTGCAGGTCCCCCCAGGGCTGAACTTTAGAGAATCGGTGTGAAGGTAAAGATTTTATAGCTTCAATAGCTTGTTTCTGTGTGAGAAATGATTAGTATCAGTATTTATTATTTGTGCTGGAGATTGAACTTAAGACCCCATCCATACAAGCTAAGCAAGCGCCCCGCTACTGAGCTACATATGTTTATTGACAATTTCATACATGCATACAATGTATTTTGGTCACAATCACTCCTTTCCTCCTAACTTGGTATTGTTCATATTATACTCATGGGTGTGTGGCCATTCACTGGGGCATGGTTGATCTAACAGGTGCCATACCCTTAAAGAAAACTGACTTTCCCTCCCGCAGCAGCCATCAACTGTCACTAATTTAGGATGGGGACTTCTACCCCTTCCACTCTGGAATGTTGACTGGCTTGATCTTGTACAGGTTTTATGGAGGCACCATAGCTTCAGTGAGTTCAGGACTGCAGTGGTCGTGCTGTGACCAGATACCCCGGCCACCTTTCTCCTTTCCAGCCTCGGGGGGCTCTTAGAGTCTTTCTATCTCTTCTTCCATGATGGACCCTAAACCTGTGTGTGTGTGTGTGTGGGGGCTTGATACAGATGTCTATTTTTGCCTTTTAAACTTGTTTTTATATTTTGAATTTTTACTGTTTGTGGACCTGGTCAGTGGCTCTGATGACCGTGACTTGAGAGGAGACATTCAGTTCTGTGTAGCTCATGGCGGTGCAAAGTGAGAAAGCGAGTGTGATGAGAAGTAAAGGAGAGAACATGGGCCAGCTTGAAAGGCCCCATGAACTTTATAGGGGAGCTTTGACCTTCATTCTGGCAAAGTGAAACTTTTATACATTTGGAAAGAGAAAAATATGAGCATCTTTATTTTTTCCAAGAATGCTTTATTTGCACTGAACAATAAAGATGTAGGACAGTCTTCCAATACTGTCAGTTCCTTTGTGTCTTGCTGCCTCTGTGTCTGGGAATGACCACTTTTCTGGTGTGTTTGCAGGAGCGGCAGAAGCAGCTTGAGAGCCTTGGAATATCTCTTCAGACTTCTGGAATCAAAGTTGGGGATGATAAGTGCTTCCTGGTTAATTTGAATGCTGACCCTGCTCTGAATGAACTCCTGGTGTACTACTTAAAGGTGAATAATGCCTTTATGGAGTGTTCTGTGACACGTGGGGACCTGTGCTTCTTACCGATTGCTTTTATTTCATCAACTGGAGTGTAGCACAGTCTTGGGTTTTTGGAATCAGTTTCCATTTTCTGTCTTTGAATGATGTCATTGAACTACTTACATAAAAAGAATATTCTGATATTATTTCCATCAAGTTAAGTAATATACTCACCACTTACTTAATATAATTTCTAGGGAATATTTTCTTAAACATGAGAGGAAATAACTTACTTAGAGCTACTTGATAGGAGGTTCATGTTTCCAACAACTTTTAGGAAATTTTAAATGTTCAAGTTATCAAACTATTAAAAACAAACAAACAAACAAGCAAGCAAACAAACAAAGGGAGCACTGATCACGTAGACATTGGGAGAATTAGCACATGAAGCAGAAAAGAGAATACAGTACACATTGAAATCTGAAAATCCTAGAAGGTGGGAGAATCAGGAAAGGTTTTGAGTCTGACACAGTAAAATATGAAGAATGCTTTCTATTATTGTGATAAAAACCAAGATCCAAACAACTTGTTGAGGAAAAGGTTTATTTTAGCTTATAGTCCATCATGAAGGAAAACTAGGACAGGAACCTGGAGGCAGAAACTGAAGCAGAGATCATGGAGGAACATGGCCTACTGCCTTGTTCTCATGGCTTTTTGTTTTTTTTTTTTTTTGTTGTTGTTGTTTTTGTTGTGTTTTGTTTTTTTTCAAGGCAGGGTTTCTGTGTAGCCTTGGCTGTCCTGGAACTTGCACAGTAAACCAGGCTGGCCTTGCACTCACAGAGATCCACCTGCCTCTGCCTCCCGAGTGCTGGGATTAAAGGCATGAGCTACCACCATCCGGCTGCTCTCATGGCGTTATCAGTGTGCCTTCTTATATCACCCAGGACCACCTGATCAGAGGTGGCACTGCCCATGCGGGGCTGGGCCCTTATGCATCAATCATGAATCAAGGACATGTCCCATAGACAATTTAATGGAGGCATCTTCTCAATTTAGTTTCTCCCTTCCCAAAGTACTGTAGTTGTTAAAGTTGACAAAAATCCAACCAGCAGCACATCTACTTTCTTACTTTTCATTGAGGATACATTGATTCCTTAGTGTATTTTGATAAGTCTCCCACTTTTTTTTCTAATATCTTATATAGTGTTTAGCAATGCTGTGTGTTAAATAATGTCTTTGACACATACATGAGCTAGTGCATATCTAGTGCAGAGTCAAGGCTTTTTTTTCTTTACACACTGGAGGAAGTTGCCTCTGGCTAGCTTTCTGGGTTCAGACTGGATATATGGACAAATTTTATAGACAGAAATACTATACATCTATACTGTATTCCCTGTTCTGTTTTCTCCCACATACGCTGTTTTTTTTTTTTTTTTTTTTTTTTTTTTTCCTATTAAAAATAGTGTGTTGGGCTGAAGAGAAATCTCAGTGGTTAAGAGCACTGGCTGCTTTTCCAGAGGACCTAGGATCAATTCTCAGCATCCATATGGTAGCTTGTAACTGTGTAACTACAGCTGACTGTTGTGGTGTAGACCTTTAATCCCAGCACTTGGGAGGCAGAGGCAAGAGGAGGATCTCTTAAGTTCAAGACCAGGGCAACCAAAGCTACATAGTGAGACCCTGTTTCAAACAGAACCAACCAAAAATATCCAACCCTCTGTAACTCCAATTTAAGGGGATCCAGTGCTTTATTTTGGTTTCCAAGGGTACCAGACATGTTAATGGTACAAAGACATACCTACAGCCAAAGTACCCATACACATAAAATAAATAAAAATTAAAACATGTCATCACAATTCTCATGGCACTTTTGAAGTGTTGACAATATCTTTTTTTGTTTTTATGCTGTGTATCTGTGTGTACACACATGTGAAGATCAGGGAACAACCTTGGGTGTCATGTCATGAAAGACACCTACTTCCTTTGAGACAGCAATTCTCAGTGGTCTGGTGGTCACCAGTTAGGCCAGATTGCCTAGCAGGTGAGCTCCAGGAACTCTCCTGTTTCTCCCTCCTCAGGACTGGGATAACAAGTATGTCTGACATTTGTAACTGGGTTCTGGAATCAAATTCAAGTCCTCATGCTTTCAAGGCAAGACATGCTGTCTCTCCAAGCCTAGCATTCTGAGTTAGAACAGAGTTTACAGATAGACACTCATGGCCTTGGGGACTGAGGCACACTGCCCCTTTGGGGTCCCAGAGTTTGGAACTCCTTTTCCTTCAAACTGCAGGATACACAGAAAAACAAAACAAAATAACCCACCAAAATGCAACCTGATTGATGTCTTTTCTCTAAGTAAAAAGTTAGTAAATCATCAGTGGCTGTTTGGAGAGGGACTTCTGGAGGAGTCAGAACATTTCTGGTTCCTTGTGTGGAGGAGGCCAGTTCTTTTCCAGAATGATCAGCCCCATTTGGTCCCAGTCTGGGGTGGTGCCAGGCTTGCCCGATGGCAAGACCATACTCATGACAAGGCACATTCAGGAGGGTGAGTGCAGTCCAAGAATGAACAGTCTCTCTGTAGAAAATGCCACCGTGTGGGAGGGGGGAATTTGGAGATTGCACTTTTTTTTCTTAGCCTCCACTTCTAAGCCAGTACAAATATATGTGACTTAAATGTGATGACCTCATCTATCTAGGTGACTCTTCCCACATCATCTGCAGATGCAGGTTCCGATTTAAAACAACTGATGTCCTCCTGTGTTGTCCAGGTTACAGGATTTTCTCCTTCAGAATGTATTCTGCTATACCGTATACTGTCACCTTTTGGAATCCTTGGGTGTAGTCTTACACACAGACAGAGAGATACAGTCCCTTATTAATTCATCCTGTTTTGTTCACTGTGTATCATCCCATCCTAGCTTTAGATACTCGATATATTTTTTGGGGACGGGGTGGGGTGGAGTAGGTGGAACATGTTTCTGACACTGGGTCTCAGGCTGACTTTGAATTTGACAGTCTTCCTGAGTGCTAGGATTATCAGCCTATGTATACCAAGGAGATAGCCTGTGAGAATTTATCTGTTTTTTCCCCTGTTGCTTAGCGCACACTGTTGACTTAAACACTGAGCAGTAATGGGTTTGCAGAGCTGAGCCTTTGAATTTAGGTCTGGGATCCTATTGTACTTTCTAAATCACAATAGATTGTAACCTCAAGTGAGAGACTGAGATTGTCCTATATGACATAAACTCTAATTGGGACTTGACAGTTTCTTGTTTTTCTAGGGATCCAATGCCTCTCACATATTTGATATGCAAAGTAAAAAAATGTATTTCTAGTTGGGCAGTGTTGGTGCACACTTTTAATCGCAGCACTTGGGAGGCAGAGGAAGATGGATCTCTGAATTCGAGTATGGTCTACAAAACAAGTTCCATAATAGCCAGAATTAGACAGGGCAACCCTGTCTTAAAAAGAAAAAAAAAAAAAAAAAGAATTTATTTTCCTAGAACTTGGATTATACTTTTGCCTGTTTGAGTTGGTGTTTCTTCTTTCTGCTGACTTGTAATCACTATCTACAAATACCAGCACCATTGCAGACTCAGTCTTGTATTGGTTGTACCAGCTTCAGGAGTCTTGGATAGGTTATAGTCCAAACAAGGAGAAAAAAACCATTTTTAAAACAGTAACTCAGTAATTATGGTTCTTCAGTGTCATGGGGGCTGAGAGGAGGAAGAAATCAGGATATACCAGCCTGTACAGTTTCCATGCCCCAGTCAGTCTCAAGTGAGGAATTAACCTGGGGTAGTGTGATAGTGACTAGGTAGCTGGTCTAGTTCTGAAGATATGCTATTAAAAGCTGAGATAGAAGGACTGGAGTGATGGCTCAGTGGTTAAGATCACTGGCTGCTCTTCCAGAGGTCCTGGGTTTAATTCCCAGCACTCACATCCCTGCTCACCACTGTCTATAACTCTTGCCCCTCAGGGTCTGAAATACTCTTTTGCTCTCCACAGGCACAACCTGCCCATGGTACACAGAATAAATGCACACAAAACACTCATACACTTAAAAATTAAAGGAAAAATGTCTTAGGAAAAAAGGAAAATGAAAGTCTCTGAAACGAGGCACATATGCAAAGGTCAGCAGGAAACTTGTGGAGTCAGCGTTTTTCTATCATGTTGGGTCTGGGGATTGAACTCAGTTTGCAGGCTTGGCAGCAAGTACCCTCACCTGCTGAGCCATTTTGCTGGCTCCTAGATCCTGTCTTTAAACAGTGTTTGTCTTTGTAGCTGTCTCATTTTGATTGAGAACAGATAGCTTTCTCCCTCCTCTCCTCTCCCGTCCCCTCCTCTCCTCTCCCGTCCCCTCCTCTGCTCTGCTCTCCTCTCCTCTGCTCTCCTCTCCTCTGCTCTGCTCTCCTCTCCTCTCCTCTCCTCTGCTCTGCTCTGCTCTCCTCTCCTCTGCTCTCCTCTCCTCTGCTCTCCTCTCCTCTGCTTTCCTCTGCTCTCCTCTCCTCTGCTCTGCTCTCTCCTCTGCTCTCCTCTGCTCTGCTCTGCTCTCCTCTCCTCTCCTCTCCTCTGCTCTGCTCTCCTCTCCTCTGCTCTCCTCTCCTCTGCTCTCCTCTGCTCTGCTCTCCTCTCCTCTGCTCTCCTCTCCTCTGCTCTCCTCTCCTCTGCTCTGCTCTCCTCTCCTCTGCTCTCCTCTCCTCTGCTCTGCTCTCCTCTCCTCTGCTCTCCTCTCCTCTGCTCTCCTCTGCTCTCCTCTCCTCTGCTCTCCTCTGCTCTCCTCTCCTCTCCTCTGCTCTCCTCTCCTCTGCTCTCTCCTCTGCTCTCCTCTCCTCTGCTCTCCTCTGCTCTCCTCTCCTCTGCTCTCCTCTCCTCTGCTCTGCTCTGCTCTCTCCTCTGCTCTCCTCTCCTCTCCTCTGCTCTGCTCTCCTCTCCTCTCCTCTGCTCTCCTCTCCTCTGCTTTCCTCTCCTCTGCTCTCCTCTCCTCTCCTCTGCTCTCCTCTCCTCACAAAGTCTCAAGTAGCTAAAGCTGGCCTTGAGCGCACTATGTAGCCAAGGCTGGCCTCAAACTCCTGGTCCTTCTTCCTCCACCTACCAGGGCCAGCTCTGCAACTGTAGTTTTTAGACCGTATTTTGATGCATTGTTGATGCATGGCTTATGCATTGAGAGTAGTATAAAGTATTTAGAATCAGATGGTAGAGAAATAGCAAATGTAGACTGACATGAATATAAGATTGTATTTTGAGCTTAAGACAACAACTGGAGGGACATTGCTACTTTTAAGGATTTAGAAGTCATGGAATGGACTTCAGAGTCTTGTGCCTGAGGGGGCTGAATGAAGTTGATGTTAATTCACAGGGAATTCTGCTTCTTTCTCAGGAGCACACGCTGATAGGGTCAGCAAATTCCCAGGACATCCAGCTCTGCGGGATGGGCATTCTTCCTGAGCACTGTATCATAGACATCACGCCTGAAGGCCAGGTCATGCTGACCCCTCAGAAGAACACCAGGTAATGTGCTTAAGTTAGTGTTAATTATACTAGGTGTGGGGGTTGAGGGTCGGGAGAGATGAGGGACATTAGGCCTGCTTTTATTTTCAGCTCACTTCAAGACACCCTGTTATGTGTCACGCCCTTTCTATTTAATCTGAACATTTCTCACACTTAACATGGTCTCATTAAAAAAATATTTATTTACTTTTAAATTAGGTATATGAATGTGTGTCAGGGGATATACTCTTGGGTGTAGGTGTTTAAGGAGACCAGAGTCATCAGATTCTCTGAAGTTGGAGTTACAGGTGTTTATGAACTACCTGACATGGGTGCTTGGAATTGAACTCAGGTCCTCTGAGAGAGCAGTATATGCTCTTAACCACTGAGCCATCTCTCCAGCTCCCTTTACTCTGTCTCAATTAGAACCTTTTCCTCCACCCTAGACTGCTCAGTTGGCAGGTTTTCTTCTGGTTTGGGGAGGAAGTCCCTAGACTCCCCATGTCTCTCTTCTTCTGCTCTGCCGTTCTTTTGGCTTGTCAGCTCCCATTTGACTGTTGGAGCTAAGCTTTGGCAGTGTCTACCCTGTTAGTTACATTGTTTAATGATGGAAGTATTCCAAAACCCTTTCCTCATCCAGCCAAAGCCCAGCTCTACCCCAGGTCATCCCTGGCACCCTGGCACTGCCACAGGCAGTCAGTCATTCCACATACTGCCCCCAAGTTAAGTCCAAGGAGTTCAACTTGGGATAACGTCCCAGTGGTGGAGGATATGGACAAAAATTTTCCAGAACTCGAGTCCTTGTTAAAAGGTGCAGTTTTGTTGCTGGCAGCAAATGCTGCCAGTTGTTTCCCTTGGCAACAGGTTCCCTCTGCTCACTGCTCACCTGGAAGATTGACGTGCTGCTTTGTGTGTGTTCAGGTGGTGCTTTCTAGAAGCTTTCCTTCTTGTCAGTTAGATAGTAAAGGTACTGTATGCTCAGGGTCAGGGTATACTCAGTGTCATACTGCTTGATCCTAGGACACTTCTCTCTGACAAGTCTGCATTTGCTGTCGAAGACTTACTATGTGTGTAGCTTCAGCAGGGTGGCTCATGGTCTATGAGTGTCAGCACAGAGGACAGGTGGGGGACCAGCGTGATCTTTGAGTGTCAGACAGGCTGATGACTGGAGTGGTCTATATGAGTGTCAGCATAGGAGATGGGCCAGTGCTGCTGTGGAAGCAGTTTCTGTCATGGGGACCCATGCAGATTGACCTTTAAGAACTGGTTTATACCTCTCTCTCTCTCTCTCTCTCTCTCTCTCTTTCTCTCTCTCTCTCTCTCTCTCCTTCCCTCCTTCTCTCTCTCCCTCACTCTTTCCCTCCCTCCCTCCTTCTCCTTCCCTCTCTCTGTTTTTCTGATGCAAGATTTCTCTGTATACCCCTGGCTGTCCTGGAACTCAGTTTGTAGACATGTCTGGCCTTGAACTTAAGAGGTCCACTTGCTTCTGCCAAACTTTGGGATTAAAGGCATGTGCCACCATGTCTGACCTCCTTCTTTTCTTTCTTAACTCATTGTATTTGAAGAATGATACTATAAAGCCTTAAGTGTGCTAAGTTTAGCACATCACATTTTTATATTTGATCTTGTACTTTGATGTCCATACAAACAGAAGCAAAAGGGTAGTATTAGTGTTTAAGAATCCATATGGAGAATAAAGTTTGAGTGGGAATAAGAGTGTGCAGATGGGAATGGATAGAAAATCATAGACACACAAAGCCAGTAAGAGCATAGCTTAGCCATATGGTGGTACATGCTCATAAACCCAGGATTAAGGAGGTTGAAGCAGGAGGCTCTTTAGCTCAAGGCTTCATTGTGAGAGCCTGTCTCAAAAAACAAAACAAAACAAAAACAAACACCAAACAAACAAGGTTTATAGCCTTACAGAGTTTAAAGAAACTTAGAGACTGAGGTGTTTAGCAGGCTCTGCAGAGGAAATGGAATCTGGAGTGAACTTGGATTGTGAGGAAGACTGTGGAGGCTGGAGAGGTGGGACCTTCTTCCATAGGCTGGAGAAGGACAGGACCTTGTTTTTTATGAAACAATAAATGATTCTAGGGACTGATAAGGTTCCCGGAAAAAAAAAAAAAATCTGTTTTCAGAGGAGCTGAAGGTTTCCTTGAAGAGGGAAGGGAGGAGATACAGAGGACCTCCTTGTGGAAGGGAGGAAAGGCCTTTCATGTCAAGTTAAAGAATTTGTACTTGATGGCCTATTTCTTAGCCAGAGAGTCACTTGGCAGGAGAGAGGCGTGGGGCTGGTATCCTGGGAATATGCACAGGCGTAGTTTTCCACTTGTGTCCTATCCTTCCAAATTCCTCCCCTGCTAGTGTTCTACCCACCATGTCTACTACTGAAGTCTGTTATTGAACTAAACAGTTCAGCTGAACTGATGAGACTTGTCTGGGTTGAAAGGACATGGATGGCGCTCTCCACTGTGGGCAGTTTAAGAATTCCCTGTAGGTCTCATGTTGTGTCCCTGGTGTCTGCCACTGTTTCTAGAGTCTGGTCACTTGGCGGGCTCTTCATCCATCTGGGTTGGCTCTGTCTTTCATTATTACCTGTCACTGCTCCATGTTTACTCCTCCCCACTGTCTAAGATGTTCAGAGCTTTGAGAAACAGTGCCATCAGTGTGTGAAGTGGGCTTAGAACTTTAAAGACTGGGAAGTTAGAATGCAGATGTCTTCAGCATCTGAGGTAAGTGTAGCGATGTAAGGGCAGGTTTTGTTCAAGGGAGTTAAGCTGCTGTGGAAGTGGAAGCAGAGGGGGTGGCAATCCTACTAATGTTGCCCTCTTCCCCACAGGACATTTGTAAATGGATCTTCTGTCTCCAGCCCCATCCAGCTGCACCACGGGGACAGGATACTCTGGGGAAACAACCATTTCTTCAGGTATGGCATTGCTCACATTCCTGAAGGTGGAAGGCCATTGAAGATGGTGTTCTGAAACAGAAGAGTCATTTTAAGTGTGAACGGCATAAAATGACACCTTATTGTGTGTGTGTGCTCATGCTTGTGTGTCCATGTTGTATGTATGGCTTGTGTGTCTATTCATATGCGAATCCTGGGGCCATAGGATAGTACTCATCAGAAGTACTAAGCTTACTTATTTGTTTATCTTTCTTCCCAGTGAAAGATTTTCCCTCAATCTGGTATCAGAATTAACTCATTTTTTTTTTTAAACTGTTGGGTTTGCTGTCTGTCTGTCTGTCAGTTATCTGTCTGCACACTGTTATTCTTTTGTCTGACAAGCAGTAGTAGAAATGGTGGATGTGGTTTCTTTATCCCCAAGAGGAGGTTGGTGGTTTCTTTGACCACACTTTCAATGAGTCCCAGCACACTGGACACTGATGGCTTAAGCAGCTTGTGTATTCCCAGACAGTGAGACGCCCTCAGGGAGAAGGCTGCTTCTCAGAAAGGCCATGGCTGCGGCCTGCTGTTTTCTTGGCACTTCCCTATGGATTAGCTGTGTCCCTGCAGCCATGAAAGAAACATTCAGCTCACAGGGACAAAAGGGCAGCAAAGGACAACCTTGCTGCCCTTTTGTCAGGGCACCAGAAATCTTCCTCTTAGTCTGCTTGAGTGGACTCTGTCTAGTAGTAGCTGCAAGGGAGTCTGCAAAGGAAGGCTGTCACCTGTGACTGCAACACTGTTCCCCAAACATGGTGGGAATTTTGCTGCATGGTGAGGCAGGCTGGCTGCTGTAATGTTCAGACCCAGGTCTCTTCTTTGTGTCCCTGGCCAATGTGCTTCTGCTGTCTAAGGGACTTTGCTCATAACCGATGCTGATCCTTACGTGTATGCCGCTGGTTGTTTTGATCTTACAGGAAAGATTAGAAGGATGCAGGTTCATGGGAAATGCTTTTCATTTTCTTTTCCACACTTAAGTATTGCTGACTTGTCTCCCAGACCCTCAGATGGTTCCGTATGGCTTTTGTGTGCACTGTGGAGTTTCTTATAAAGTCTCCAGAGACTTGTCAGCATGTCTAGTTCTCATCCTGACGTGATCCTCAGCTTTTCTCTCTCACCTAGTTTGCAGAAGTTGTTTGGACTTTGGTGTAACCACTTGTACACATTTGGATGTTTTGTTTCTACTACTAGAGCAGAAGTTCCTAATTGCAGCAGCTTCTTGGTTCTGCTGTGGTTCCCTTAGCCTCTAGCAAATGCCAGTGTGTAATGGATGGGATGAATGAGCATCCTTCTTAATTTAAAAAGTAATGACCCCCTTTTCACCCCAAGGCTTAACCTGCCAAAAAAGAAGAAGAAAGCTGAACGAGAAGATGAGGAGCATGACTCCTCCCTGAAGAATGACAGCAGTTGTGAGCATCTGGATGCTGACGGGGACTCCTCCAGTGAGGTGTCCAGTGAGATCAACTTCAACTTTGAGTATGCACAGATGGAGGTGACCATGAAGGCCCTGGGCAGCAATGGTGAGCACGGGCTGTGCTTTCAGGAGGTGCTGAGCATGTTTCTGATGACACCCTTCTTTGATGACTTCTGAACCCTGTGTCCATGGCTATAATAATTGATTGTACTTGCAGAATGTCCACTCTCTTTGCTGTGATAGACAAATCACTGCAAAGTTGTTCTCAGGGTTGAAGTGTGACTGCCTTTGGATCTTTCTTATATTTCTAGAGCATTCGCCACAACCTAGGTTCTCCATAGAACATATTTTAGCCTTCTCTTTGCTGCTTTGCAGACAGTGGGCAATCTATCTAAAGTATATAACACAAGTAACTGGCAGTGAGAAAGCCACACTTACCCAAATTGTATGAAATGTATCAGGTCATGGCAATTCAAATGATGGATGTCTGAAGTGTACCATATGTCTTAGTTGGGGTTTTACCTGCTGTGAAGAGACACCATGACCATTAACACTCTTACAAAGGGAAATATTTAATTGGTGGGATATGGTGGGGAGGGCTTGCTTACAGTTTCAGAGTTTCAGTCCATTATCATCATGACAGGGAGCATGGGGGCATGTAGGCAAATGAGAGTCCTACATCTTGTAGGCAATAGGAAATGGTCTGTGGAACTGGGTGGTGTCCTGAGCATAGGAAACCTCAAGGCTCGCCCCCACAGTGACATACTTCCCTCTAACAAGGCCATACCCACTCCAACAAAGCCACACCTCCTAATAGTGCCACTCCATATGAGCTTATGGGAGCAATTACATTCAAACCACCACATTTCTACTCCCTGGCCCCTATAAGTTTGTAACAGTATTATTATAAAAAATGCATTTAGTCCAACTTCAAAAGTTCTCATAGTCTATCACAGTCTCAACAATGTTTAAAAATCCGAAGTTCAAAGTCTCTTCTGAGATTTATGCAATCTCTTAACTCTAATCACCTGTAAAATCCAAATGAAAAAGCGGCTCACATACTTCCAGCATTTAATAGCACAGGATATACATTACCATTCCAAATGTAGGAAAGGGAGCATAGGGAGGAAATACTGGACCAAAGCAAGACTGAAAACCATCAGGGCAAACTCCAAACTCAGCATCTTCATGTCTGATGTCAGAGTGCTCTTCAGAATTCCAACTCTTTGTTGACTGCAACATAACTCTCTCTTGGGCTGGTTCCACTCCCTGTGAGCATCTTTCCTTGGTGGGTATCCCATGGCTCTGGCATCTCCAACATCTTGGGGTCTCCAAGGCAATCCAGGCTTCAACTTCACAGCTTTATGCAGTGGCCTCTCTACTAGGCCTCCATTCAGGGACACCCATGACACATGTCTGGCCTCAACAACTTTCCTTAGGTGCGGAGGCAAATTCCATGACCTGTTTTCTCCTATCCTTAACTCTAAAGCCAGAACCACATGGCCAAAGCTACCAAGGTCTGCCGCTTGCTGGGGCTGGAACATGGCCCCCTTGTTCATTTCACCTTCACCAGCTTTCTGTTTTTGATTCTAACCTTTACTACCTAAGCTTGGTTGTCCTGAATTGCTCTGTAGATAAGGTTGTCTCAAACTCAGAGATCCTCTAACAAGACCATGCCCACTCCAACAAAGCCACACCTCCTGATGGTGTCACTCCCTATAAGCTTATTGGGGCAATTGCATTCAAAATACCAGACCATACTTTCTTGTTCATTATGTTTTTTTTTTAATGCTTACATGTTCAGATCCAATGCAGTCCATATTGAACAGCCTAGAGCAGCAGCATGAGGAGGAAAAGCGGTCCGCTCTGGAGCGCCAGAGGCTCATGTACGAACACGAGCTGGAACAGCTCCGAAGAAGGCTGTCTCCCGAGAGGCAGAACTGCCGAGGTGCTGACCGGCTCTCCTTCCACTCACCCAGTGCCCAGCAGCGCCTGAGACAGTGGGCTGAGGAGAGGTAGGCATGCAGGACAGCCTGAATTGGGTAGTGCTTGTACGCCCCACCTGCAAGGGTCCTGGATGGGGACACTGGGTGATGCTTATAAACAAGTAACATCTCGAGAGTGTTTTGGCCAGCAGCCACTTTGAGTGTCTCTTTCCTTGCTTCCTTCTTCACTTCTTTCCCACCTCTCTCCATCTCCTTATTTCCTCCCCTCCTTTCCTCTTTCACTTTTCATTTGTTGTTCTTTTTGAGACAGAGTTTTATACTTACATAGATCCCTAGTTGGCTTTGAAATCGCTCTGTAATGTAGGCTGGCTTGGAATTTAGAATCCTCCTGCCTCGGCACTCTGAGCACTGGGATTGCAGGTCCGTGCTGACATGCTGCCTATGTTCGTCCCTTTTCTTTTCTGTTTTCCTTTCATAGCACTGAGGATTGACCCCATGGCCTAGTGCATGCTAGGCAGGCACTCTTCCACCAAGGTGCATTCCAGCTACTATTTTTCAGTTTTGGAAAGATGGGATTTGCCAGTACATTCAGCTTTCTTTAAAACAGCGTATGTTAGCTGAGTGTGTGACACACGCCTCCAATCCCAACACTCAGGAGGTAGAGGCAGGCAGATCTCTGAGACCAGCCTGGTCTCAGAGCAAGTTCCAGATCAGCCAGGGCTACACATAGAGAACTTGTCTCCAGATAACCACCACTACCATCACCAATAAAATGCTGTGTTAAATGCTGCTCATTTTCAGTCCGTGCGGCCTTTGGCTTTGAATAGAAAAGTATACTTTACCATTGCATCATGCTTTAGGTTATGAAGGGTGGTACATGGCCTTTTTTAAGAAACGGGGGAAGAAAGTTGATAGTCTGAATTGATGAGGTCAGGTAGGTAAAGCACAAGGCTAATAAGATACAGAGTACCAGTTTGATGTCTGTATGAGCTAATTAGTACAGCACTAAATGCCATCTCCCACAGTTCCAGAGTGCAGCACTAACCTCTTGCTACTCTGGTCTGTATACAGGCATCATCCCTGTTGACTGGAGAGTGAGGCATGTAGAGTCTCTAGTCGTACTGAGTGGATCTTGAGTTGATCATACACAGTGGATCTTAGTGTTTCATACACAGTTGAGTTTGCAGAGCTCACACCTGTCTGTGGCCAGCTTGCAAGGAGTGCTATGCTGCGACTTGGTCCAGAGACCAGTGTGTGCATGGGGTGGTGTTAGTATCAAGTTCCTGTACACAGGAGTTGTGAATTAGCTGATTGTGACTGTGGTTTCCCATATGCTGTTTTGTGTGTTGTTTCTACCTGCACCCACCGTCCTGTTTTATCTTAAAGAGAAGCAACATTGAATAACAGCTTGATGAGGCTGAGGGAGCAGATTGTAAAGGCCAACCTGCTGGTGCGAGAAGCTAGTTACATAGCAGAGGAGCTGGATAAAAGAACTGAGTATAAAGTTACCCTCCAGATTCCAGCCTCCAGCCTGGATGCCAACAGGAAGGTAAGGCATAGCAGAAATGCCGTAGCTGAGGTTGCATCGGGCTTCACCCAGTGACTGGATTAGTGGGAAGTTATTTCTTTTCTAATTTTCTGAGTGTATGTGTCTGTGTGTCATGTTGTGTGAATCTGTTAGCCACTAGGTATGTATTCCTTGCTTCCCTTGGACCTATCATTTCTTCTCATTCAGCTTCCTTTCTTCATACTGGCTTTTTTGTTATTATTTAAGACAAGACCTCAAATTGAAGGTAATTCTCCTGCCTCACCCTCCCAAGTATTGAGGTATGGGTATGAGTATCTTGAATTTGCAGTTTATAATGATTTAGGCTGGCCATGAACTGTATCCTCTTGCCTCAGCCTCCTGAGTGTAGGATTATAAGCATGCAACCCCACTCCTGGAAACATTACTGTTCTAGAAAAAGTGCTTCAGTGGCACTTAGTACATGTGATTGTTGTACAGCCACTGCTTTGCCTGATTTTCTCCTCTTTTAGTTGTTTGAGGTAGGAGACTGATGCTATATTTTGCCTGCAAATGAATGACTGGGGTACCCTAGATAGTTTATTACTGTAGGCATTCCATGTGGCTATTCCTTTAAAAGTCTACTTTATTAAGCAGTAAGATACTATTGGTTTAAACAAATGAAATCACAGTTTTGGGGGCTGGCAGGATGGCTCATTGGGTGAAGGCGCCTGCCACTGAGCTTGATGATCTGAGTTCGATCCCCAGGACTTACATGTTGGAAGGAGACTAACTCCTGCAAGGTGACCTCTGACCTCCTCATATGTCGTGGTACACACACACACACACACACACACACACACACACACACACACACACACAGTAAATAATTAAATAAAAAAAAAAAACCCTCACACTTCTGAAAATTGAAAATAAACATTTGTTAGACTAGAGTAGTAGTACACTCCTTAATCTTTAGGACAGTGATTTTCAACCTTCCTAATGCCGCAGCCTTGTAATATAGTTCCTCATGTCGTGGTAAGGAACCCAAGCCACAGAATCATGTTTGTTGCTACTTCATAGCTGTAATTTTGCTATTGTTATGAATCATAGTATAAAATCCGTGTTTTTTTGATGGTTTTAGGTGACCCCTGTGTGACCCCCAAAGCAGTCACAGTCCACAGGTTGAGAACTGCTGCTTTAATTTAGGAGGTAGAAGCGGGAAGATCAGGAGTTTGAGGCGGGCCTAGGCCACATGAAACCCTGTCTCAAAAGAGACAAACAGTTTCATGACTGTGTCAGCTAACTTTGTCTTGTTGCCAACTCCCATCTCTGCAGCGAGGCTCTCTCCTCAGTGAACCTGCCATCCAGGTGAGAAGAAAAGGAAAAGGAAAGCAGATTTGGTCTTTGGAAAAGCTAGAAAACAGGCTTTTGGATATGAGAGACCTCTACCAGGAGTGGAAGGAATGTGAAGAAGACAGCCCGGTGAGTTGCAGAAGAGTTGGTATCTGATAGTCCCAGAAGGGGCCAAGACATAGCAGATCTGCCGGCTCAGGGACATTGAATGCTTTTCCAAAATTGTTGCTCTAATTTTAAAGTAAAATTTATCTTAATTTTACTTAATTTACTTAATTTTAACTTAAGTTGTTAAGTAATAATTTTAATAATTGGCCATTTGCATGTTTTCCTTTTTATCTAGCAGATTTTCCCTTTTCCATCTGTTAGTGTGTTTATCTCAGGTTGTTTTGGGGTTCTTGTTGAGGCAGGGACCAGGCCATCTTAGCACACCAAACAGCTACCCCACAGTTTGTGGTTTTGCAGTCATTGGTGCACTGCTAGAAAGGATTTTGAAGGCATTTTGATCCCAAAGTAAGTGCCTGAGATCTGTACTGGCAAAGGGTCCTCTATTGCCAGCTTTTCTTATTCGGGTGAGCCATGTAGTAGTACATACTCAAAGCAGAAATATAGCTCATGTATTTTGTTGTTGTTTGCTTCTAGACATTTGTTCTCTTAAGACAGGGTCTCCCTGTAGCTCAGCTTGCTCTTCCTGCCTCAGCCTCCTGAGCGGTGAGATTATGGATTGTACTACCATACCCTACTTCCTATACCAATGTTTTCAATTCTGCTGGTCTTCTTTCTATATAGAGTTGTTTTCTTCCTTAGCTCTTTTTTTTTTCCAGATTGTCATCAATCCAAATGGCTTTTTATGATTAGATGATAATTTTGCTTAAATTCATAATTTTCTTCTTCATTTCTCTTCCTTTTTGACTTAGAAATAGGTGTAAAAACAGATGCAGACAAGAACTCCCCACTGCGATGCTTCGCAGCAGTCTGACAGTTTAGTAGGATCTTCTTGCCTGCAGAAACAGTGAAGAGGGTCAGTGCTCTCAGCTTTTCCTTCTCAGCCAGTCTGTCTGTTTGTCTGTCTCTCTATGTCAAAACTTCTGCACAAAGATCTCTGTGAATTCAAGACTAGCCTGGGGTGTATAGTGAGTTACACACTAGTCAAGGCTACACAGTGAGACCCTGTCTCGAACAAACAAACAAACAAGCAAACAAACCAACCTAGGCGTCAGGATATAGAGGTGAAGCTATTGGTCAAATGAGTGTATTTTATGTGATTTTCTTTTTCTTTCGAGGTTGTATGTTTGAAATCTCTTTCAGGTCATCCGGTCTTACTTCAAGCGTGCTGACCCATTCTATGATGAGCAAGAAAATCACAGTCTAATTGGTGTGGCTAATGTCTTCCTGGAGACCCTGTTTTATGATGTGAAGTTACAGTATGCTGTGCCAATCATCAACCAGAAGGGAGAGGTTGGCTTTCACTCTGTCTGCCTCACTATGCAGAGCAGTTCAGGAACAGTCAGTGGGTGGTCACAGGACACTTGTCATTCATACCTTGATTTTTTTTTAAACCAGTCCTGACTAATGACAAGTATTTGTGTTATGGGTACCTTGTATTTCCAAAGGGCCATAAGGGGGCTTTTCCTAGTTGGCTTAGATTGCAGAGCAGCTGTTAGAAAATCACCTTTTAGCTTTTCAGACATTGTTATCCTCTCTCTGGCTTTATCAAGGAAGATGGGTCCTCAAAGGGCAAAAGCTCAACCCAGAAACCAGTATTTGTTTTGCCTCCTTACTTTAGGTGGCAGGTCGGCTGCATGTGGAGGTGATGCGACTCAGCGGGGCCATTGGGGAGAGGATTGTAGGAGGAGATGATGCTACAGAGATCAGCTCTGAAAAGGAAGCCCAGGAGAACAGGCTGGTCTGCATGGTAAGCCCCAGGCCAATATTCTAGAAGGACCTAAGATTGTAGGGATTTCCATAATAATCGCATTTTCAACAACTTATAAATGCCTGTCTTCAAAGACATCTTTTTGCGGGAGCATCTTAGGGATTATGTTTGTCATACTTCTAGAGACTCACTCAGCACTTCCAATACTTCCTCTCTGTGGCCTTTGGCAAGTCACCTCTCTTCTCTGCCACTCAGCAATGGGCGAATGAGCCTGCTTACATGTCTTGCTCTGTGGAGCAGCCCAGAATTCCCATAGAAGTTTTCTATTACTGGAGCTTTCGAGTTCTGATGAAAACGAATGTTTGCCTCTCTGTGGCCTGTCCCTTAGCTGCTGCCATTTTCACTCTGCCAAGCTTCTCCATGCTTCTCCCTGGTTACCCAGTGCCTTTGCATGTGTGTCCTCCCAGCCCAAGGGTTCCTGGCCCTTTCTGTCTGATCTTCCTGTGTGTGCTGTTCATGGCACACTGTGAATGTTATCCTGAAGACCTACATCAGGTCTCGGGGTAAATGCCAGGTTCCTACTGTCCATCAGCTAAGGATATGTGGGAATGAGCAGATGCCTCTACTGTATGATCCATTGCTATGATACGCTGGCACCAGCTGTCCAGGCACACAGGAAAGCTGTGAATAGATGGAGGGTTCTGAGGGAGACTGAGGGAGATTCTGGGAGAATGAGAGGGTGTCAGCTAAAACCAGATCTGCAGGTGCTGGGTGAATGGTATGGAGGGCAGCATGCTCCCTGGCACCTGTGCCCTCTTCACTCTAGATCTAGTACAGTCCTTGTCTGAGTCTCTAATGCCCCCTAGTGGACCAGTGCTGCTAGTGGCTTAGAATCCTGGCAGGATTTTGATGACAAGAGACCAGTAAGAACCTATAGTGTTTAAAAGATGTGATTTAAAAAGTCCGTGAAGAAGCCTAGGTCAGGCTCTTGGTTCTTAACTTATCCTAGGTCAGCCTTCTTCCTTAGTAAATATTTCTAGACTTAAAGTTGTTAAAAGGAATAAGTTACACACAGCCATAGGTAGGGGAAGCTAGTGCTGCGGAGAGCAGGGCTGCTTTTTGTAGCTGTCCACATGATGAGGCCTGCAGTGTTTTGAGACATGAGTTGCTCCAGTGGGCGGGGACAATTCTTAAGTCACTAATAGTCTCACTCTTGCTAATTTGTAGCAAGAACCTCTTTCTCAAGGTCACGTGCCTGGTTACCGTAGTTAAGTGGGCTTTCTGACTTCATGTGGCTCATTTCTGAGATGACAGACAATGATTGCATCTCTGAGAGGTCAGCTTTCATAGTGTAAAATAATGAGAATGATGCTAGTTGATGGTGGTGCATGCCTTTAATCCTAGAACTCAGGAGGCAGGGCCAGGTGGATCTCTGTGAGTTCAAGACCACCCAGAACTATAGAGTGAGTTCAAGGATAGCCAGTGCTACACAGAGAAATCTTGTCTTGAAAAACCAAAACAAAAAAAACAGCAACAACAAAACAAGAATGGGAATTTGTCATTAAAAAAAAAAAGATGTGTATTTGAGATAACATGGCTTTTTTAAAAAATGATAAAATATGTTATGATATAATGGAAGATATCAAGCATGAATGTAGTAAGGAAAGTGTAGTCAGTCCCCACTCACCCTGCTCCATAGTGTCCTGACAGTCCAGCATGGCTCAGCTATGCACCTCATGATGCCACTCCCCTTAGGAGTAGCTTTATGATAGACACCCAGGCATCATACTTCATCTATAAGTAATATGTGTCTCCAAAATAGTGGGTACTTTAAAAAAATAAAATAAATAAATAGATTCCTTAAGGTCATAAACTATTCAGCCAGCTTTCTTAAGTGTCTTTGTTAGTGTCTGTAGATTCTGCATTCTTTCTCACATTGAAATTTGTTTGTCATAGAACCTGTGTGTTGCTCTGTTGATCTGTTGATTGTCCTTGCATTGCATGTTAAGAGGTGTTAGATGTAGGTCAGCAGCCAAATATAATGTGTTATATGATAGGAAAGCAAGGATGTGTTATAGGTAATGGTGTGTTTTCTGTTAAAATTACTGGCTTTTAAAATTGTCTTCATGTCATAGTGAACTCTTAGACTTAACATGTGTGTCATTTAATCCTGGGTATTTATTATTTGTATCAAATCTCTAGTGTTCCCAAAGTTGAGTAGTGTCAGCCCCTTCAGTTGCCTCTTGGGCCCTGAAGATGTGAGCCTGACCCTTATTGACTGATAGCTTTTGAATATGGCAAACATTTCTTCTTATCCTATATACATTTCCTTTTCCGGACTCAGAATCTACCACTTCTAAGAAGCAGTATTCATTTAAGTGGGACAGGTTTCTTAGAGACCTGTGCTAGCTCTGGGGCCCATTGTGTAAAAGAAAAGGACAGGTAAGACACGGTGGTGAGTGAAGTTCCTGTGAAAAGTCAAACCCAGGGATGGTTTTGGTACCATGAGCGAGGAAATTACTGGCTGTACAAGACATCTGCATTCATTTTTTCCATAATGAAAGAGTATGCCCATATTCCTGTTTTCAGAAAACATTAAGTTAAATGTCATTAATTCCTGCTGATACATTGGCTCTTTCATATTGAGCTGAAAGTTGACAATTTATAGCTAAATTTTAAAAAATGGCAATAAAAAGCTCCAAACAGCCTGTGTTCTTGGTTTATTCCTTGTTCCTGTTGCTCTTCATTTCTGGCAGTCTTGATTCTAGAAGTTCCTGTAGAGGGCAGGTTAGCACATCCCATTTTGTTTCTTGTTTATTTCAGCCTTAGATTGAGATTCATTTCTGTAGGAAAACAATGACTTTCAGATGGAATTCTGTCACAAATCAATACGTGTGCAATGTCTGCCTTGCTGTCATTCATCTTGTTTTCATTGGTGTGGCCTCACCTGTGTAAGGGTAGACATAAATCCTCCCCTCTCTGCCAGGAGAAAGCTAAGCTTAAGATTTTAATTTATACCAGCACACAGGCTAGCAAGTGGCAAAGATTATTTTAGATCTGTGTAATGCCAAGACCTTGTAATCACCCCCCACAGCATATTACCCCTCATTTGAGCTACATAATAAACATTTTCAACATGTAGAGAAAACAACCTTGAAAAAATTTCCTGTAAAATGTATCCTAGAATACTGATGGTCTGTTTGCTGTGGAGATAGAAAACAAATCACTCTTTCAGAGCCTGTCAGAGACTTGGTGGCTAGGTGGTCCAAGCTTGTTGACATCTCAGGCAGAAATGGCATAAAATGAAGTCACTGTTTGTTGCTGACCTGTTTTGTATATTTTACACAGGAAATCTGCTTTGTGTAATTGTGTGTGTCCTCAGAGTCCCTGAATGCTATGGTTATGGTTGAGGTTATTGAGCTACTAGAACTGACACCACATAGTCCAATTTATTCTCATTAAATTTATTTACTAGATATGGAGGGAATCAGACAGCTTACTGGACAGTGTAATATGTGATTAACTCAGTTGTGTGAAAATCCTGCTTGTCATCCAGGGTTTTCTAGAGAAACATAACTTATAGACTGACTCTGTCTGTCTGTCTGTCTGTCTGTCTGTCTGTCTGTCTGTCTGTCTGTCTGTCTGTCTCCTAAAGGGGATTTATTAGAATGGCTTGCAGGTTGTGGTCCAACTAGTCCAGCAATGGCTGCCTATGAATGGGAGGTCCTAGAATCCAGTAGTTGTTCAGTTCATGAAACTGGATGTCTCAGATGGTCTTCAGTGTACAGCAGAATCTCAAAGAAGTAAGCTCTAATATCATTGAAGGAATGGACTTGATAGGGAGAGTGAGAGCAAGCAGACAATGACAGCAAACTTCCTTCTAGATCTTTTATGTAGGCTGCCAGCAGAGGGTGTAGCCCAGATTCTTTCTACCTCTAAGATCCAGATTAGAAGTGGGTCTTCCCATTTAAAATGACTTAATTAAGAAAAAAAAGTTCCAGGGCTGAAGAGATGGCTCAGAGGTTAGGAGCATTGCCTATTCTTCAAAGCTTCTGGGCTCAATTTTCAGTACCCATATGGCAGCTCACGATTGTCTATAACTCCAGATCCAGAAGATCTGGTACCCTCACACAACAAACGTACATGCAGTCTGAACACCAATATACATAAAAATGAATTTAAAAAAAAGAAAAGAAAGAAAAAACTCCCTCACAGGTGTGCCTAGCCATTATGGTTTTAATTAATTCCAGATGTAGTCAAATAGACAGCAATAGCCATCACACATACTATACAGTATAATTAATAACTCTAGGATTACTTCATAATTGTGTGGTTTTAACACCATCACAAGTTACATAGAAACTCCAAGATGAAATCCAGATGCTACTGTAAAAAGTATTAAGAATGTTTGGCTGTTTTAAGATCTAGTATGGGCAGCTGGAGGTTATCTCAGTGGTTAAGGGTGTTTGCTGCTCTTCAGGAGGACCTGAGTTCTGTTTCCACCATCCACTTGCAGAGGGCTATGGAACTGTACAGCAGTGGCAACTAGCATTTAACAAGTCGACCCACAAGAACCTGCATTCATAGGCACATACCCACACACAATACATATATCCATATAGCTTTTAAAAAAATACTAAAAATGCCCTTTTCTTTAAAAGGCTCTGGTGCAGACATTTTCTCTGGGATATTGGTCCTACTGTGCACGTGCTTCTGGCCATACTTTGTAATCATGGACTCCAGGGTCCTCATCCAGAGCTTCCTTTGAGTGTTTGCCATCACTCTCAGGGGAAGGTACCCGGGCAATGTCAGTACAGAAAACAGCAACTCTAAGGTCTTTACCTCCTCCATTCTCCCCTCTAGACAAGACGGTCAAATGCAACACTCAGTGAAGTTCTCAAATAGAAATAAAATAAAAATAAAGTAATATAATTGTAGTACATGGCATTCCATTCCAGAACTCAGTTTCTCCTTAAACTTGAGATAATTGGGTGAATCTTGCCCTTTCCTGAAGATTTCCTGCTTGTTGACTCAGACACAGTTCTGTGCTTTGCTCATTGTGCTAAATACCTTTGTGCTTTCCTTATAAAATGCTGGGTGATGTTGGTTTCCAGAACCTTCTTGTGGAAATGATGGTGATGGTATCCTACATCCTGACAAACTAGGATTCAAATGCTCCAGTCAGCTTTTAAGTGCTGCCCAGCACCACCTACCTTGGTATATGGTTGCCATCATCCTGTGTCAGGCCCTGGGCCTGAGCTAGTCCTGGGCTAACACTAAAGACATAGGTTTAAAGTGGGTGCATGTTTGATGACAGAGCCAGGACGGGACCTTCCCCTATACCCCCAGTCTTTGAATTAAGTGCTCATTAAAGCCTTCTGGTCAAAACAAGTAGAGCCTTCTTTCTCTGCAGGTTAAAATACTCCAAGCCACAGGGTTGCCGCAACATCTGTGCCACTTTGTATTCTGCAAATATGACTTCTGGGATCAGCAGGAGCCAGTGACTGTTGCCCCCGAAGTGGATACCTCTTCATCTCCCACCAGCAAGGAGCCACAGTGTATGGTGGTGTTCGATCATTGCAGTGTGAGTTCCTTCCCAGTCTACCTCAGTGTCCAAGTTATTCATGTAAACACAGCTAAAGAGTGAGTGCCGCATCTGTGAATGATTGTGCCAATATTCATCTTGAAGTATTATGTAGTCCTAGAACAAAGTGTTAGTTCATTTAGCTTGTCCACAATCAAGACTCAACTTCTATACAAAGAAAAGCAAGCTGTGTAGATGTGTATGTGAGCAGTCTTCCAGAGGAAGCCTGTGTTTTACAAAAAGGTAAGAAACTAGTGTTTTAGTGAAAATGAAGATAACAAGATCAGAGACCACCTTGCTGGCCATCACCTGTTCTGTCATGTTTATTGGTCTTGACCAGTTATTATTAATGATGACATTTTTGTGGACCAAATAAACTCAAGGTAGTGGTCGTCACTCTGCCTTTGGCTGGCGACCATTGGAGTTTGGACTGGCTTTTGCTATTTATCCCACACTTGACCCACAACAAAAATGGAAACAGGCTCTCAAAAACATTGCTAACAAAATAACTTGCTATTTACAGACTATTCTTTCAAAATGAGAAGTTTTAAAGTCATGGCTATGTTTATGTATTTTTAATTTTAAAAGGTCAATTTTTTTTAAAAAAAATCAGTGGGTTTCTTTGTGGGTGTGTGCTCATGAGTGCAGGTACCCACAGAGGCATCAATCCCATGGATCTGGCCTTGTAGGTAGTTGTAAGTTACCAGATGTGAGTCCTCAGTCTTAAGCACAGAGCCGTATCTCCAGCTTCCTTCGGAGCCATACTGGATATGAAAACAAGAGTGTTGGTCGGTGTGCATGTTGCCATCGGTGTTAAATAACACTCTGTTCTATGAGGAAAGTGTGCTGTTGTCTGTGTCTTTCCTCTCTGATATCATTAAAGATGTGAAGCCTAGCTTAAGTGTCAATAGATCAAGCCAGTATGTGCTGCTCTCTAATGAGTCATTGTGTTTCAGGAGTTTAATGTTAACATCACAGAAGACTTCATTGAGTATCTCTCGGATGGGGCACTGGCCATCGAAGTATATGGACATAAAATGAATGATCCTCGGAAAAACCCAGCCCTGTGGGATTTGGGAATCATCCAGGCAAAAACAAGGAGTCTTCGGGACAGGTGAGTTTTTGATATCCATTGGATTCCCATTTCTAGTTTGAAAAAAAAAAAAAAAAAAAAAAAATGGCAGTGACTGTCATTTATTTTTAAATTATTTTTCTTCCCCTAGTGTATGTGTGTATACATATTTGTATGAATGTGGGTTTGTGCTAAGTGTGTGTTGGGAGGGGGTCAAAATTGACATGGGGAGTTTTCCTCAATCACTCCACCTTATTCGTTGAGGCACAAGGCCCCTCATTCAAACCCAGAGCTCACCAGTAGGGCTAAGCTGGCTGGCCACCTTGCTTCAAGGGTCCTGTGTGTCCACATGTTCAGAGCTGGGAGTATAGGTGTTGATTGGTTCACCCAGTGTTATTTGTGTGTTGGAGCTCTAGACTCTATTGGGCCCTCATGCCTGTACAGCAAGCACTTTCACTATTGAGCCATCACAGTTATTTTATAATCGACTGTCACCTTTTCCTAAGCATCCCCAGGTTTGTCTCTACGGCTTTAGTCTCCCAGTAAAATTTCCTTAAAGCTGTGTGAACTTTAGAGAATGATGGGAAAAATGCACTTGGGTGTTTAAGAAGCAACAGTGAGATGAAGTTCACTCAGCACAGCAAGTTTTGTCTAATTAACTAGCTGTGGAGAGGTAGATGACAATCTGCTGTAGCATTCACATTGACCCTGTCTCTGGCTCATAAGCGGTTGTTGTTGTTGGTTACTTGTTTGATTTTGTGCTGCTGGTTTGAACCTAGGGCCTCACACATGCTAGGCAAGCACTGCACAGTTCTGCATCCCCACTCCTTTCCAGTTTTGATGTAGGCTCATTTGATGACATGAAAGAATTAAAAGGGAATGACTGAAGGGGGGGGGGGGAGGTTACTTCCATCTTAAGATGGAAGCAGATTTTTTTTCTTTTTGCCAAATCCAAAATTAGAAGATGAGATTTGTTTTCTTCATTTTCTTACTGACCTGAGAGCACATCCTTCTCAAGTCACAGACGATACCTTCCTATGAGATGAGCATCCTGTGCTTGGCTTCTGTGTACTGACCAGATATTTCAGTCATTGGGTAACCACTTTCAAAAGCATTTGTCGTGACCCCACTCCATGAGTATGCTGGTGTGTGTGTGTGTGTATGTACACACTCATGTTCACAAGGTGTTTGGGCACACGTATGCATGCATGTAGAGGCCAGAAGGTGATGTCACATGTCTTTCTCTGTTGCTCTCAAAGCAGGGTCTTTCTTTTGAGCCCAGAGCTCCCCAGGTAGTCTACCTGTCCACCTTACTCTGCAGAGCCCTACATTGTTTGTGCCTTGTGTTTACTGGGATTACAGTTGGGCCACTGCACCCACTGTTTATGTGGGTTTGAACTCTGAGCCATTGTTCCAGCCCTACACTGAGTTTTAAACAAAAGTGCCAGTGATTACGGACGGTGTGGCTCAGTGTTAGAGCATTTGCTTAGCACATGCAGGCCACCTGGGTTCAGTCCTCAGAAAACCACAACAGAAAACCAAGGAGCCATCCTGTATCTGATATTATGAATTTGACTTTCAGTTCATGCTATTTGCCGTTACATGTTGTACATTTCTTTCTGATTTGAAGGTCATTTCCCTGGGCTCCTCTGTTTAAGGTCATCCTCACTGTTAAGTCAAATGTAAGATTCTAAGCTGTCTGCACTGAAGTAGAAAGGCATGGTTTGGGGGCTGTGGAGGTGGCTCAGTCGGAAGGGTGCTTCTCAGCACGCATGAAACCCTGGCTTTGATTCACAGTACTGCATACACTGGGTCTGTTGGCACACACCTGTAATCTCAGGAGAAGAAGGCAGGAAGATTGGAAGTTAAAGGTTACCTTCGACTATATACCGAGTTTTGAGCACAATCTGGTATACATGAAACTGCACACCAAAAGAAGTGTAATTTCCCAAGAACTGCATGTATTTCCTAGGTGGAGCGAAGTCACCAGGAAGTTGGAATTCTGGGTTCAGATCTTGGAACAGAATGAGAATGGTGAATACTGCCCTGTGGAAGTGATTGCCGCAAAAGATGTCCCAACAGGAGGGATCTTCCAGCTCCGGCAGGTACCAAGATTGTGATGTCATAGTAAAACCCTTCTTGCTGGGTTGAAAAGAAGAGCTTTCAAGGAGACAGAGCTAAAGAATGGGACAGAAGGTGGACAAGCCAAGTATTATTTTCCTGCTCGTGAGTTCGAGGACAGCAGTTCAAAGTGGCAGGAAGGACTGAATGTGCAGGGGCTGACCCGCCAGGTCCAGGCTGTGTACTCGTGAGCTCCTTCATCTGGATCACAGAGGGGAGGCCAGCACCAGTATTGTGGGTTTTGGTGACATTTAGTAGAGTGCTAGAAAGCCATTTGCTTGACACCTGGCAGCTGTTAAGTATGTGTGGCTGAGGTGTGGAATAGTCGCTACTTACCAGTGAGTGGCAATCTGTCAGTCTGTGTTGCTGGCTAACAGTGACAGGGAGGGTCTCCATTCATACTTTGTTTGGTTAGCAAAAAGTAGCAGTCTTTATCATGTCAGTTTCCTGCATATGCCCATATACTTAGTGCTTATTCCAGTGCTTCCCCAGACTCCCTCCCCTACACCTCCTCTTGCTGCCTTCATCTTCCCCAAATTGTATCCTCTCCTGCTTTCATGTCTGTCACACATATTTCAGAGAGTGGAAAATCTCAGTATAATTGGCATAAATAATTTGGAAATACTCTTTTTTACTACACTTTATACCATACCAAAATTTAGTAGGTTGTTCTCTATAGTTTCCATACTTTAAAACACAACCTTAGTGGGCTGGAGAAATAAATGACTCAGTGATTAAGAATTCTTTCTGCTCTGCCAGTGGATTAAAATTTGGTTCCCAGCGCCCAGGTTGCATGGCTCACAATCACCTGTACCTCCAGCCCTGGGAGATCTGAGGTCCTTGACAGTCACATGGCATATATTCACAAAGACACTCACACATCCATACATTTCTAAAAATCTTTAAAAACCCGTTATTATTAGAATTGCTATAGAGATGAATGTTAAAAGAAAAACATGAGAAGAGGTTGCAGGAAAGAGAATGTTTGCTTAAATATTTAAATTTCCTGTTCTAGAAGGAGGAAGCAAATGGGTTTTCTCAAATGCATTCATGCATGAGAGACTTGGAGCCAAAGAAGAGGATTTCCAGCCACAGTGCTATGCCGAGACACGGTGCTGTGGAGAGAGATGGCACTGTGCATTATGCTGGGTTGAGACAGTGCTGTGGAGAGACATAGCTGAATTCTTTTGTGAGGGGCCAGTGAGGAATTTTCAGACAGGTTTTCTATGTGTAGCCTTGGCTGTCCTAGAACTTGCTCTGTCGAACAGGCTGGCCTTAAACTCACAGAGATCTGTCTGCCTCTGCCTCCCAAGTGCTGGGATTAAAGGTGTGTGTCCCCACTGCCTGGCAATTCTTAGTTTAAAAACCAGACTGAAAAAAAAAAAAAAAATGAAAATGAAAACCAGACTGAATGCCAGCTTTGGTATCCTGTGCTTTAACTTAGGCCACAAGTGTTTCTCTGCAACAGTCACTCAGTGACTGTACAGGGGGCTTCACACTTTAAATAGTTGTCAGTATTATGCATTTAATGTAGATCTGCTGCCTTCTTCTTTGTGGTGCTTCCAGATTACTTATCAGTGTGCTTGATTGTTGAACTCCGGGGGCAAAGGTTGCTCACAGTTTGGATTTACTTGGCCCTAGAACAAGCTTGACCAGTTTCAATTCCTGTCCCACAGGGTTGATAGTGTCTATTTCATAAACCTTGGTCTCTGCTGGAAGTAATTTCTAGCTTAGCTAGTGGAAATTAAGGCTCTCATCGTTAACCCTTGTCAGAAAGTTGGTCTTTTTTTAGTTAAGGCCTCCGGATGGAGGCTCAGAACGCTATATAGACTATGCTGGCCTGGAACTCTATGTAGCCCAGGATAGCCTAGAACTCTATATGGCTCAGGATAGCCTAGAGCCCAATGCAGCCCAAGCTAGCCTTGAACTCACAGAGATCTTCCTGCCTGTCTCCTGAGTGCTAAAGTTACTTGTGTGCACCACCACACCTGGCTCAGTTGAACATTTTTTATTAGGCACTGTTTATATTTCCTTTGCTTGTAAGTTTTCATTCACATGTTCTGTCACATAACACATCTGACAGGTAAGCCAAGAGGATTGCCTTGAATTCAAGATTAGGCCTGGGTACATAGTGAGTACTACGCCAGCGCCAGCTAGACCTACATGACAAGCCCTTGACTTTCATTAAATAAAACACAAGAAACTTTCTTCTAGTTTCTTATTATTCAGGAATTATAAAAAATGTATGTTCCGTTTGTCTCCTATTTGCTTGAAGAAAAATGCATTTTCCTGACTAGGTTTGAATTTGTGCTTTAGTATTTAACAGTGATGAGATAGGTGGATGCCTCTAAAACTAACTGCATTTCTTTATATCAGGCTGTAGGGGTCTCTCTAAACCAGAGTTCTGAAAATCAAAAAGCTGATTTTTCTCTGTGCTGCAGGGGCAGTCCCGGCGAGTTCAAGTTGAAGTGAAGTCTGTACAGGAGTCAGGAACTTTACCTCTGATGGAAGAGTGCATAATGTCAGTTGGCATTGGGTGTGTGAAAGTTAGACCCATCAGGCCTGCTAAGATCCATGAGACCTTCCATGTAAGTTTCTGTGCCTGCTCTGTGCTTTTTGAAAGGCAACAGCAGACCAGAGTCTTTTGAGACATCGCTGCCCCTGACCCTTTCTCTGCCCTTAGTATCTTCTCCAGTGCACTCACTGCCTTTACAAGAGGCCCTTGCACTAGGCTGTTTGTTAATGTGTGTTGTTGTTGTCCTAGTGTGTGGTGAACTGAGAGTTAAAACCTCTCAGTCTGGCAAACCACCAAGCCTAACAGTGATTAACTTCCTCCCCTGGCCCACCCCTTTATAGAACCCCCCACTGACTGGAAAAGACTCTTTGTCAGCAGGTGTTTGATTTCTCCTGGTGTTGGGGGGTTGTAAGCCCAGCAGGGAGAGCATTGTACACAGACTTGGAAAAGGTCAGGGGAACCTCTTCACTTTCTCTAGAAGCTCCTAGTCTTACCAGCTTCCTCACAGTGGAGGGCTGGGATGAGGCTGGGTGGGCTGCCAATTAAACAAGAAGGCAGGAACTGTGGGAGAAGATTGTGCTTGTGTATGGAGGCCTGATTTGTGGGTAAATAATTGTTTTGGTTCTACATAATATGCTGTTTTCTTTTAGGAGGAAGAGGAGGACATGGACAGCTACCAGGTAATTGAGCACCTGTTGGCCTCATCAAATCAGCTTGATTCAAGTGCTTAATTACACGGGCCAGGATCTCTCTGCACTACTTGATAATTAAACAATTCTGCTTTTCCTGAAAGTCAAACAAAGTATGGATGCTGGGTGTCATAGAGGGGGGCTGGGGAGTTAGGACTAATAAGGCCCTGTGGCAGAAGCCTTTCTTAGTCAGGGCCTCTGCATTGGGCTGTTTACACAGATACCTTGCCTGGGTTCCCCTTGAGCAGAGTAGTCGCCCATGGTTTTGTGGGGGGTGGTACATAGGGTTATAAGTATGCCTGTTTCTGGGTCTTATGTGTGTGAAGCCAGGTTACCCTGAAATTTTTACTTCCTTGACTTATCCATTAGTTTGGGGAGGAGAGTTTATTACCCCCATCTTTTCCTTTCCTAATGTGCCAGCTTTTGTTTGTGTCTGTGAAGTTGCATCTTGTTAGTCATCATTTAAGACTGCCGGGGATCTTTGGAGCCTGATTATGTCATCCTCTGTAGTCACTCTCCTGGCTTTGCATCATCCTAATTCGATAGAAATGTCTGCCTTCCTATAAGTCACTGATAAAAGAAGAAGAAAACAAAAACACCTCATCTTTCAGCTGGGGTTGAACATGGTACTAGTAGTGGGGTTTTCTTTTAAACAGACGTTATTCCATTCATCACCACTCTCTGGATGTGATATTTGCGTCCCCTGCACTGCCCCTTAAAGTGGATGCACAGCCTGTTTCTCCATCTCGTCCACAGGAATGTCATAGGCTATTTGGTTAAATGCCCTGCTGAAACCCAGATACTTGACATCTGCAGCATTCCTCCGAACCACCCAGTCCCCTAACCATGTTACAAAGGAAATGAGGTCAGGGTGGTGTTCTGGCAGGTGTTGACTGGCGGAGCTGAGTCTGTCAGTAACAACCCCTGTCCTCTCACCCACCGCTATCTTCCAGATGCACAGACTCAAGGAGGAGAAGCACTATGTGCTGCGTCCTCGGAGTCTAGTGTGACACGACAGGGGGCGGTGGCTAGAAACTTGAAGGATCTGAGGAGTAGAAGTTCGAAACTTTTTAAATACAATTTGTGAGTCTTGTCCAGCAAGGCAACCTTGTAGAAAGATGCTGTTTTTCAGCAAGTACAAAGAGCCAGTTCTTCAGGGCCTATCTACTCTAGAGTAAGCTAATGCTTTCTGTTTTGGGAGTTAGTCTGAGTTGTAGGTAGAATTGCTGTTGGTGCTACATGTTGAGCTGTTACATAGTGCAGTTGGTAGAGTGCTTGCCTAGCAAACATGAAGCCCTTGATTCATTTTCCATGCCTCACTCACTCTGGGCATGGTGACAGAGGTGAACCCAGCACTCTGAGGTGGGAACAGAGACTTGTGAAGTTCAAGGTCATCTTCAGCTACGTATAGTGAAGACCAAAAAGAAAGAAAAAAGGCAGGGAATAGTTGTATGCTGCTTGTGTCTTCGAGTTAAGAGAGTGAGGTTAGTTTGGGGAACGTCTGGCTTGGATGTTACATTGAGTTTGGCTTACCCTGTTTTCTTCCAGGATAGGGATTTAGAGAGGCTGCGTAGAAAATGGCTCAATGCATTAACCAAGCGTCAAGAATACTTGGATCAGCAACTGCAGAAGCTCGTCAGTAAACATGGTAGGAAGAACAAGTGGGGCATTTCCCTCCCCATGGCAGTGCGGCCAGGGCATCTCATTGATAGCCTTTTTGTAGCCAGCTGAGGGCCCAGTGAATGTGGTGGTGAGGATGGATGCCTGTTCTTGGCTTGGGGTCTATCCTTTATTTGGTTGTAATGATATCTTGTAGTTTTTTTTTTTTTTTTGGAGTAGGGCACAGGCATACATGTAGGCAAAACATCTATACACATTACAAAATAACTGGGAGATAGGTCTGATGTTTCCTGTTGTAGGTACTGGGAGCTTGGAACCTATGCCAGTTTATCAGACCCTGCACCAGAGGTCTGTCATCTGTAAGAAGCCTCTGCAAGTTCCCATTAACCTTAGGCAGGGGAGCATGTTTGCTTAAAGAAAATATAGAAACAGGCTGGAGAAATGACAGCTCACAACAGTCTGTGACTCATGTTCCAGGGAGTACGATGCCCTCTTCTGGCCTCTGGGGGCTCCTGGTTACACAAGGTGCACACATACTCACAGTCTCCCTCTCCCCAGGCAGTGAATAAATACATCTATAAAATATATGGGAACAGTGAGCAGGATGGCTAGACCTAACCCTGATTCCTTTCTTCTAGACAAAACTGAGGATGATGCTGACCGAGAAGCACAGCTGTTAGAGATGCGGCTGACTCTCACAGAGGAAAGAAACGCAGTGATGGTGCCCTCTGCTGGCAGTGGCATCCCAGGGGCACCTGCAGAATGGTAAGGTCCTACAAGGTGTCTTCTGAATCCCCATGGTGACCAGGTACCTCTCCCCCCCCCCCTTGGGCTGTGCTGCATTTAATGGATGGTTCAGCATGGTGTATGAGAACAGAGCTATTTGTGTTGAAAGACTGTTAAATTATTTTCATGAGTTGGATATGGCTATGCCCTGAAACTGTTTTATTAAATAATATTGTTATTGGCCAAGGTAATTAGGATTTCTGAGAACTTAAATCAATATTTAGTACCACTGCACTTAGCATTAATAATAGTTAACATGTTAATTAATCATTGGGTCCCTTAAAAGAATGTTATGTCATAAGAAAACTGCATCTCAACCAGTTTTTGGTTTTGGTGCTTAAGCCATGCTGTCAGCAATGCTTTCTGACACTTGACAGAAATTAAAAATAGCAAGTTAAGCCACAAGGAACCCTTAAGTATGTCATTTGGCAAGAAAGAAAGCTTTACACAGGTTGATGGTGAAGGTGGGTATGTCTGTAAGCGTAAACTCTCATGTCCTAGCATAGGAAACATCTGCAGTCAAATCATGAAACTTGTCACACCAACCCAGAGTGAGATAAGTGCCCAGGCCATTGTCACCTGAGCAACATGAGTCTTTTGTGTCTTGGGTACTGTATATAACCTGTCCTTCCTGTTTTAGGACCCCAGTGCCTGGGATGGAGAACCACATTCCTGTCATATTCCTTGACTTAAACGGTAAGTTAGAGTTGGCTTCTGGAGGCTTACCTTGATGAAGAGGTGACAGAGTAAACACTTCATGGATCTAGCCACTTGTGCTGGGGAGTTGCAGTCCTCCTGTGTTCCCTGTTGTGGTGCTGGACAGAGACTGAGCTGTTTAAGCCAGACTCATTGCTGCTCTTGCTGTGGTGAGCTCTCTCCCCTCTCTACCTCCCTTCCTCACTCCCTCCCTCTCCCTCACTCCCCTTTCCTCTTCCTCTCTTTCCATTTCTGTCCATCTCTTTCTGTTCCCAGAGCTGGGGATTGAATGTGGCTGGGCCTCACACATGTGAGATAAGTATGCTACCGCTGAGCTACAGCCTAGCATAGCAGTGATGGTGTGATGGGCACATCTGCATGTTGCAGGCCTGCTTCTGTGAGAATGCACTGTTTCCCCACCAATTTAGGATGCTTTTTCTATACTGAAATTATGTTCTGACCTCAAGGCTCAGAGGAAACCCCTATCTGGAAGGGACCATCAGCTAGGGGTACTCTGTTTGCTTAGCATTGTGTAGTGAATTTCTCAGCTTTTCTGTGAGTTCCTGTGAACTTAACCCTGATTGCTTGTTTTTCTTTTTACATAACTGTTCTCCCCTAACCCCCACATACCCATCACACTGATATCTGTCTATAGGAGGGAAAATAGAAAATGCCAAGGTAGGTTAAGGAGCTAAAAATAAGAAGTCAGCAGTTAAGCTCCGTGAAACACCTGCAGAAGTGTGCATTAACACGAACTTCCCTAAATAGAAAAGTCTGGGTGTCCTCAGTGGTCCCTTCACTGCGTGTATGTGGACGTGTGATAGGATGCCTGAGGGGCCCAGCATCCTGTGCCTGAGATCATGGGGCATTCACAGTACCAGTCTCTCCTGTGGGGTGGGAGCTGTTTGGGAGCTATCACAGGAGACTTTACCTTGAGCTTTTGAGTCTGGAGGCTGAGGCGGGCTCTGGTCTGTTTGTGTGTTGGGCTTTATAGGCAGCTAAAGAAGCTTTAAGAGATTGGGAAGGATTGGGATTTAGGAAGATTTCTTGGCTGTGTGTTTTCTTCCCCAGTTAAATTTTTTGTTAGCATACTAAAAAATGAATTTTATCATGACATTTTCATATGTATATACATTGTGCTTTGCTCATGTGTGTCCTCTCATGTTATTTTTTCTCCTTGTCTTCCTGTACCCCTTCCATGGGTCACTTCCTTCCACCAAGTCATTCTCCTGCTTTCCTGTCACAAGGGTAGGTAGGCAGATAGACGATGGATGGATGGATGGATGGATGGATAGATGGATGCATAGGTCTAGATTTGCATATGAGAGAATATGTAGTCTTTGTGTTTTTTATCCCTCATTACTGTCTCTTTCTCCCTCTTCCTCCCTCCCTTTAGACAACTCCCTGTCTCTCTTATAGTTTCCCTTTTACTCTCATACCCTGTTTGGGGTGGAAATACATGACATGTGATGTTTGGCTTCTTTCACTTAACATGATGACCTCTGCTTCCATCCCTTCATGTCATTCTTCTTTATAACTGAATAAAAGTCTATTGTGTAAATATGCCACATTAGCCTGGGAGTCTGAAGAGACAGTCAGAACTTTGTTCAGCACGCCACATTAGTGGTCCATACAAGTACACTTACTTTGCTGTGTAGGCACAAGCTTGAGGTGGATGGAGCATTGGGAAGCCAGGCTCGGGACCAAGTGACCACAGGGCCCTGTGCAGTTGCCAGGTCCATTAGCCAGGCTGCACTTTTGTTAGGCTTAACTGTCAAGAATTGCTCTCGCTTTCTTCTTGTTTCTTAAGTGCACTAAAGGGTGGGGAAATTGGGCTGTGATCCCATCATTACCATTTATGAGCTGACCTCTGGTAACCTCCAGGGTATCTTGGCTTCCTTTGCTTTCTGTGTAAAATATGACACATGGGGAGCAGCTTGGGTAATTTCTTGAAGCACTTTCTGGCTCTTGGATCTGTGAACTATTAAATGGTTATCATCAGTGTTATTCAAGACTGCAGTGCAGAGAGCAAGTGAAGTTTGAAGCAGAAGAATTTTAATAATGAGCACATTGGTTCAGCTGCTGGGGGCAGGAGGAGGGGTGTCCTTGAAAACGATCTGGTGTTGAGTGAAAGCCCTGCTTTCAGCGGATGATTTCAGCTCTCAGGATAATCTCGATGACCCAGAAGCTGGATGGGATGCTACCCTGACTGGGGAGGAGGAGGAGGAGTTCTTTGAGCTGCAGATTGTGAAGCAACACGATGGAGAGGTAAGTCAGCATACCATGGAGAAGCAGATAAGGAGTTCTCAGTCCTGCCAGCTGCCCTTTGATGTCAGTGAGATAGTGGCCTCCACAGTATAAGCGAAAACTCTCTATTAGTACTTAGAAAGAGTGAAACTTGACCCTCACACCCAGTCCACCTTCTCCCTTCTTTTCTTGGTGAGGGACTCATGTCAGTGTGGACAGCATCTACCAGCTATGGCTGTGCTCTGTTCCTACCCTGAGAAGGAGGGAAGAGGTGGTTGTTGATTCCACTGAAGTACAGGATGCTTCAGAATGGAAGGGCATTGCTTTGGTGTTTGCTCTGCAATTACTTCATAAGAACTTTCATTACAGGGCCTCACTATGTAGCCCTGGCTGGCCTGGAACTGGCTAGGTAGAGCAAACTGGCTTTAGACTCAAAGGGATCTACTGCCTCTGCCTCCCAAGTGCTGGGGTCAAATGTATGGAACACGATGCCTGACCTATGACTTCTTAAAGAGGAGAAACAGGAAGCCCCGCCTGGTGGCACACACCTGTAGTACTGGCATTTGGGAGGCTGAGGCATGAACATCATGAGTTCAGAACCAGTGTGAGCTCCATAGTGAGGTCATGTCTCAGAACAAAAAAAGCAAGAGAATAAATGAAGGCAGTGAGGCAGAATCACTGTTAATGATTGAGTCTCGTGGTTGGATCTGTGTGAAGGTATAATTCCGGGGGGTTATCCCCTGATTTTTAATATGCTTGACAAGTGGTACTAGCAGTAGAGTCTCTGAGGAATTTACAGGTGACCTGAGATGCGTGCCCTGTTCTCCTCAGTCAGGCTTGGGAACACTCCATGTTGAAGTATACTATGGTGCCACGACAACAATTGCAGTTTGTAAGCTTGGTCTGAGAACATGGACAAATCCAAATAGGGATAGCATCCTGTCGATTTCCCGGGTGTGACATTTACCTGTAATTTACTTGAAAATGATTGGGTTGCAGGCTAAATAGACAGATTGTCTCAGTGAGTGAAGATCAAGGAACAGTGCATAAAGTCCATAGTACTGAAACATTTCAATCTTTCTTGATGTTTAAACATTTAAAAAAAACAAATAATTTAACAGCAAACAGGCTAATAAGGTACAATTTTAGTTACTGTTCTGTTTCCATGAAGAGACATCATGCTCAAGGCAGCTTATAAAAGAAAACACTTAATTGAGGGATTGCTTACAGTTTCAGAGAGTTAGTCTATGATCATCACGATGGGGAGTGTGGCAGTCAGACAGTAGCTGAGAGCTTACACCCCATTCACAATGCAGCAAAGAATGAGTAGAGCAGGGACTGGCCCTTGTGTATTATAGGCTTTGGAAACCTCAAGGCCCATGTCTAATGACACACCTCCAATAAGGCCACACCTCCTAGTCCTTCCTAAGCAGTCCACCAACTAGGAACCAAGCATTCAAATATATGAGTCTAGGTATTAACACAGGTACCATGCCCAATACTTGGCAGCCATACACACACTCACATCCTGACGGCTCTTCAGGGCAGTCCTCTGGAGAGAGAACCTTTGCCCAAGCTATACAGCATTCTCAAGAGGGTGTGTGCTCTTGGTGAGGCAAGTGAAGTCTCTCTGTCTTCTGCAGGCTAAGGCAGAGGCCTCCTGGGACTCGGCAGTGCATAGCTGTCCTCAACTCAGTAAAGGCACTCCTGCTGATGAACGAGTGTTCCTCATCTTGAGAGTGACAGTCCAGCTCAGCCATCCTGCCGACATGCAGTTGGTCCTACGCAAGAGGATTTGTGTCCAGGTCCATGGGCGCCAGGTGAGGCTTCAGCCCTAGTAATCTCAGGCTGTGTCACTAACACTAGTGACTCTCCAGACATGGTCTCTGGAGCTCTGCGCCTTCCTTTCCCAGGTTTCTGTTGCTGTCATTCACCATGCTGTCATCCTCTAAACACACACAGTGTTTTCTCAGGGCTGGGGGCATTCATAAAGCTCTGCCATGGGTAGAAGTTTGGGGGCTATGTGGTTGGGGTTCTTCTGGATCAAGCAACTCGAGGAGGTTCCCTGGAGATTCAGTTGTGTGCTCTTCTGGGAGTGCTGATCCCTCTCTTCCCAGAAGTCTTTTGATTCCCAGTTTGATTTTGGTTGTAAAACATTGAATAGGAAACAGTCTTGGTCTTTATGTTTTCATTTTTTTTTTAAATATATCTGTAGTTTTGTTTTGTTTGTGAACCATTTCTCTGTGTTGCCCTGGCTGTCCTGGAACTCCCTTTGTAGACCAGGCTGGCCTCAAACTCAGAGATCCATCTGTTGTCTCTGCCTCTGCCTCCTGAATGCTGTGATTAGCACAGCTGCCACTTCCACACAGGTCTTTAAAGAGCCAAAGTCCATTTGCATTCCAAAGTTCCTAAGTGGGCTTTCTTTTATTATGTGGGCTGCTAGGTGCTGGGTGGGACAGCATCCTGCCAACAGAGTGATGGGGAAGAGCCTTGGAGGGGAGGGTGGCTTTGAGCTGGCACTTTATAGAGGTAGAAAGGGAGGAAGGGACCCTGACATAGAGAAGAGTTTTCTAGAAACACTCTAGGTAACATGTAAACACTGTGTTACTGGATTTGTAAATGTGAGGTATTGGAAAGTGGGTTCTGAGGGTCCCCATTCACTCTGTCACCTCCTTTTTGTGGAACTTTCTGAACACACAGGCACAGACAGAAATAAATCTCATTTGAAAAAACACAGTCATGGCTGACAGACTCCAAGATGTAATCTCCACCCCTAAAAATTAATCTTCAGTTCTAAATGTCACACTGATATCAATCTCTGAAATGAAGACTGGCATAATGCTGTTAAAATCACAGCTCCTTAGCTCTCCAGTCCAACATCAATAAAATCCAGGTCAGGGGTTAGCTGTAGAGTATTTTCGTGTCTCCACATCACTCTGTGTCTCCTTTCTGGGAAGTCTAAAGGGATGGAGAGAGGTCTGCTGCTCTAGGGAGCTTCTTCAAGAGTAGTTTCCATTTCTAATTTGGTTGTCCTGGCCACCTGACTTGCAGTATTGCTCACAGGGAGGACACAGAGGGGAGTGACAATGGATTTTTGGGTAGGAGAAACGTGTCATTTCTTCCTGGTTGGAGTGATTTGGTGGAAGTATTTTAAGCCATGCCACTTCCTCCATCCTATAGTTCTTTACATTGCTTCTTCATATAAAACAGTGGCAAACACTTGGCAGGGACACCACCCTCTACCACCCATGAGGAGCCATGGCCATGCCTGGACATGTATCTGTCTCTGAGTGCTATAAGGCATCACTGAGACCCTAAAGTGATGAAGGAAATGGATGACCTCTTCAATTAATTCCAAGAGGCTCTGTTGGGGAGGAGGGGGGTGGCAGATGCTGCAGGAGGTCAACCTCAGGTACTCTGAGAGGCTTTATGTTTTTGGCTTTTTGAGACAGGGTTTCTCTGTCTAACAGCCCTGACTATCCTGGAACTCACTTTCAAGACCAGGCTGGCTTTGAACTTAACAGAGGTCTGCCTGCTTTTGCCTCCTGAGTGCTGGGATTAAAGGTGTGTACCACTACCACCCAGATGACAAACTCTTAAAAACTAGTTAATGATCATCAAATGGGAACTAATACATTATGACAATTACGTGTGTGTGTGTGTGTGTGTGTGTGTGTGTGTGTGTGTGTGTGTGTGTACATATACACTTGATGCTGATATTTTTTCCTTCCTTTGGTTTTTGCCTGTTTCTGCCTCACCTTTTGCCTCATATGTATTCACTATTTTCTCTCCTTATCTTAATTCAATTGTATTCCGCCCTCATGCCTGCTCTCTTCAACCTCTGCAGAATGTTCAATCTTCGCAGCAGCATCTCCAAATGAGTCATCTATGCATTAATTCAACAGTTCAATTCCTAACTGTGCAAAGAGCACAGTCAGCATAAACAATGACCAGGCACTCTTAAATCATCCTTCATAACGATCCTGCTTTGGTCAAGAATTTAATGCCTGAACTTGTCAATATTCATGGTACAAGAGGTCTGTCGTGCTGCAGGAGGAAAGTGTAAGCGTCACCAGACCTTGCTTCCATCTTAATTGGAAGGTTGTTTTGTTGTATCTTCTGTCTTCTGAGTTTATTCAGATGCCTGGTGGCAGCTTCCAGATCCCAGGTCTGGCTTCTCCCTAGTTGGGTGCAGGACTGGAGCTCTGCACACTGTAGGTGCCAATCCATTGGTTTGTGCTGAAGTGTTTGGTGCTAGGGCTCTCACACACCATGGTGTCAGAAGCCTGCTCTTATACTGACTCTGAGTGAACAGGTATACTTTATGTCTCTTTGTTAGTGTAAATAAGCTAGCGAAGGAGGGAATAATGGTCCATATTTTATTTTTTCTCCAGGGCTTTGCTCAAAGTTTCCTCAAAAAGATGTCTCATCGGAGCTCTATTCCTGGCTGTGGAGTGACCTTTGAAATTGTCTCCAATATTCCAGAGGTAAAGAACTGGAAATACACCCTTGATGAGCTAACTCCTTGGAAAGTCACCTACCCATGAAATACCCTGGTCAGTGACATGGGCTGGTGACATGGCTCAGCAGGAGAGGTTCTTTTTTATTTATTTGTTTGTTTTTCGAGACAGTGCTTCTCTGTATAGCCCTGGATATCCTAGACCAGGCTGGCCTAGAACTCAGAGATCCACTTGCCTCTGCCTCCCAAGTGCTGAGATTAGTGGTGTGCACCACCACTACCCTGCTGTAGGAAAGGTTCTTGGCTGTCATGCTTAATAACCCAAGTTTGTTCCATCCCTGGAAGCCACATGGTCAAAGGAAGGAACCAACTCTGCAAGTTGTCTTCTGACCTTCTGACCTTCACACAAGTGTTGTGACATTTGTACCTGTTCCTACTATAAACAAACAAATGTAAAAAATGAACCATACATAGGGAAATGTTACAGATTTTTTTTTTTTTTTTTTGATGAGTCTTCTACCCTAGACTTTTAGCATAATGTGTTTGTGGTCTTAAAAAGTTGAGACTTTAGCGTTTTGTTTAAATAATTCTCTTGTTTTAAAAAGTTTTTGTTTATTTATTGAGTAAATGGATAAGAGACAGCGAGTGAGAGAGACCTTTTAGGAGTTTTTTTCTCCTCCTTCCTTGTTTGGAGGTGGGGCTTGCTTCATCCCTGGCCAGTGAGCTTCCAGCCAGTTCTGTGTCTGCCTCCCATCTTGCCTTGGGAGTGCTAGACTCACAGGTGTGTCTCTGTATGAGCTCCAGGGATCGAAGTCTGGTTACCAGACTTGGGCTGCAGGCACAGCCACCCACTGAGTTATCTCTCTAGCCAAGCACTCCCATTTTGAAAAGCTTCTTCTTTTAAAACACAGTAGACAGTAGCAATATTGTGTTAGTCACAGAGGGCAGAAACAGTCCAGTGCTGGGGACTTCTGTCTGATGTGGAACCATAAGGCAGCCAGCTTCAGCCCCTTGCTAGCAGAGTGAGCTTGCATGCTTTACTCTGAGTGGGAGTCTTCTGGGGAGGGAATACAGGCACTGGAGAGGCCTGGGGCCTCCCCACCCACTGTCAGCATTGCCTCCTGAGGGTAGGCCTGAGGGTGTGGAAATTGATTCTGCTGACTGTTTGAATATTAAGTGGTCAACGCCTGCTTTAACACGGTCTGCAAAGGAGGCAAGTGGCTGCCAGCACGTGGGCTTTGTTTTAGATTTCCTATTGTTCTAGGGAGCCCACCAGAGGTGACTGCCCAGACACAGTTTATAGCCAGTTTCAAATCTATACTCCAGCTGGCTAGGACCACATCCAGGATTTGGGGACATAGATGTGACCCCCAAGTGTCCAGAAGACAGGGTTTTTGAAGGCAAAAATCACATCCTGGCATCTCTCTCCAAAGTTTCTTAGGGGCTTCACAGAAGCAAGCAGTTTCATAGAAAGTGAGATAAATGGCTAACTACAGGGGGTTCTGTACTCATAGGCTAAGTTAGCTAGGACATCCTGACCTTGGGCCCCTAGAATACAGTTAGGTAATTTTTCATGAGATTCTCCATCAAGGAGACCAAATCCTAGTTAAACCTGAAATGGGCTCAGCAAGAATACAAGATGGAGGAACCTCTGACTGTCTTGTCCTGTTACCTTATGTCGCAAAATTCTTGTCTCCTAAAGGGTCCAATAGTAATTCCTTCTTTCCTGGTTTTCAAAGTTAGTTGTATATATTAAACATTATTTTAACTGGAAGTGAAGTTGGACATCTGAAAACTAGGCTGTTGCCTGGTGTAGTAGATGTCTATAATCCAAGGTGAGGTAGGACAACTGTGTGAGGCTAGTCTGGGCTACCCGCCCCCCCAACAGCCCAGGGCTGGGTGTAACTGTGATAGTACCCTTGTATAGCCTGTGCAGAGGCCCTGCATTCATTTCCCAGCAGTTAATCAGAAAGGACACTGTGCAGCAGTGGACTGATTGTGAAATCTTGGCATTAGAAAAAAATTACTCTCTGCTTCATTCATTGTTCTTTCTAAGAGTTAAAAGGGAAGGATTGTAGGGGAAATTAGCTTAAAAGAAGAACACTTGTGTGATTGGATGGTTGGTAATTGGCTAGGCTTCCAGAGGCAGCAAACATTGTTTCCTCATCCCTTTCTGACCCACCCGTTTCCTGTTTATAAGCACAGGCAGCTCAGTAGAACAGAGTGGGATTTCACATCTGCTCTCCAGAGCCTTTGGCCAGTGCTGCTCCCCAGGGAGGATTCAGGCCGTGTTAGAGCTCAGTACTCTTGAGTGTCTGTGTCAGGCTGCTTTGCAGCAGCTAGGGCCTTGCCCTGCTCTCTTCCACTCCCTTCTCTGTACTGCATCAGCATCCCACATGGGTACCGGTTATTAAATCTCCACTTTGTCTAGTGGGCTAACCCAGCTCCCATGAGTCTTAAGGATGCTACCTTCTTGCAGAACTGTTGTCATGGTGGCTATATTTCCGATCACCTACAGAATCCTTTCCAATTGGTAATTGGTAGTGAATGTACGTTTGTGAAGTGGGAACAACTGTGTTTGGAATGCTCATGAAAGCCGCTGTTTAACTGGCCTTCGTGGTTATCCTGGTACTTAATGATGGTTCATGATTTCTGGAGGAAAGTTCATTTTGAATTTTAAAAGCAGATGTTAAAGTGGAACTTTGGATTCCACTGAATTTTGTTAATATAGAGTTCGTTAGATATATGTGTTTGTATATGTAATTGCATGTATCAGTATGTGTAAGCATGTTTTTGAGTGTGTGTGAGCATGTAGGCATGAAGCATCTGCATTGATGCCTTCAGTGTAGTTTTGTCATGCATCTTGCTGTTCTTCTGGACGAAGTGTGCATGCATGCATGTGAATACCTGCGGCACTTTCTTTTTCAGCCTATTTTTTTTCATGCATTGTTCTGTTCTTCAGGATTCCCAGGGAGTGGAGGAGCGAGAGGCTCTGGCAAGGATGGCAGCGAATGTGGAAAACCCATCTTCTGCTGACTCCGAGGCCTGTATTGAGAAGTACTTGAGGAGTGTGCTGGCTGTGGAAAACCTCCTGACTTTAGACCGCCTTCGTCAGGTTGGTGATGGCCAACAGTGCTGCAGTGGAATGCCATTTGGCTTTTTTTTCCCCCTAGAGTTTGGTGGTGTTGCATCTGAAGTTTGAAGAGTTTACTCTCACATAATCCAGTGATTACAGTGGGTTGTTCTTTCTTGTCAAGTCATGGCTAACATTTAAAGGATGTGCAAAACCTTAAACCATGTATGTTGGAGAGCATCTCTCACATGTACCTCTTCTTGGCATGTTTTCCAATCCCCAGGAAGTGGCCGTGAAGGAACAGCTGACAGGGAAAGGGAAGCTGAACCGGAGGAGTATTAGCTCTCCCAGCATGAACAGAGTGAGTCCCTTCTGCTGCCATTGTAGAGCAGGCACCTTTCTGGCCTCTTGTTTGGATGCCTTTCTACCTCCTTGTAAGGGATCTCAGCTGTCTGTAACTTCTCTGTGCTGGTTTACGTGCCTCTGTCCCTTCCCTTGTCACATCTGTGCCCCCTCTGCCACTGTACCTGCTGCTGGACCCAGCATGCTTGCTTGAGTGTCCTGGGAACACATTGCTCATTTGTCCTCTGCCACCTGCCCGGCATACATTGGGAGGCCACAAAAGTGTGTGGAGCTAAATACAAGCTAGCTGCCTGCCCAGAGGTGTCATTTTCTGGGCTTAAATTCATTATTTTTAAATTAGAAAGTTTGCATTATGTTTGTAGACCAATTACGTGAAGGCCATCCAGGATAATATGAATGTGTAAAACAGGTTATGTGTGTTTCATAACTATGAGGGTAGGTGGTGTGCATCTGTCCTCAGCTGCTCAGCTTTGTAGGAAAGAGCAGCTGCCTCAAGCCTGTGTTTGCAAATGACAGGAAGGACAAGTTTCCCACTGGAGAGCCAGAAGGTTCAGAGGTGCAGGAAACATGTCTGACCACTGCAGGGCCACTGACAGGCATGTAGAAATGCCACTGTAGTTCCAAGTCATTTCAGTAGTTATTAACACATACTGATATCTGCAAAGATTTGGTATTTGGGATACTATAATCTGAATAGTTCCTTTCTTAGACAAAAGGCTCAGGCCATGGCAGGATCCAGTGGCATTAAACAAAAGGGGTGAAATGTCTTCTCTTCAGGCCCAGTGAGGTGTTACATAGTGTAGTGGACACTAGAGTGTAGGTAAACCACTGTGGGAAGTTGCTAGTGACTGCTCAGTGATTTTCACATCTCAGAGATGCTGGTCTTCAAGGCCTCTCTTTTCTCCATCTTGCTTTGTTTGTTTGTTTGGTCAGTTGGTTGAAATTATGTCTCACTATGTCTCTCTGAGTTGGAACCAGGCTGCCCTCAGACTCACTGTAATTCCCCTGCCTCTGCCCCCCAAGTGTGGGATTACAGGCACAGGACTGTGCTATCAGGCCCAGCCTGATTTGATATTCAGAGCAGGACCTTTCTAGATGCTCTCTGCTTTTACACTAATCCTCCATTATCTCTCCCCAGTTGTCTGGAAGCCGGGAGCTTAGCCCATCCCACAGTCTAGGCAGCAACAAGGTGAGTTACACTTAGCTCCTTGCATCTTCTCAAACCTCTGTATGTACATATGTCTGAACTCTTCCTATACATCTGAGCTATGCTGTGTTTTTTGGAAAGAGTTCCATATTTGTTTCTCTGATCCTGCTGTTGAGACCCACCAACACCCTATTACTGTGAGAATTAAAAATTTAGTTTTTGCTAAAAATGTATCTTTCTGCTTGTAATAATCCTTTTATTTTTGAAGAAAAACCTTCAAATTGGATTTATAATAGTGAAACTGTGATATAATGATTGAGAAGTTACAAAGAATAAGAAACACATATTTATAATTATTGTTGTTTGTTAGAAAAAAATAAAATGTGTAAATCTCAGTAACAGAGCTTGATGAAAACAGAAACTCCTTATGGTTTGCTTAAAAAGGTCAGTGCCCCTTGTAGCTGCCTGATCTGGGTATTTCCCTCACGGTTTGTTCTTGTCACCCTGAGGTGACTGGCTAAATGTCGGTGCTGTGTTGACAGATGATCCTAGAGTAGGCCCAGAGCCTGCATTGTCGAAGTGGCAGTGTGATGTGAGGGAGTTGCTACAGAATGACTCGGGGGCAGGGGGTGTGTGCAAATAAAGGCTGGCTGATTGACATTAATCATTAAGGCCAAATGGTGTTCATGAGACTACTTCTATTCTTGCTAATTATTCTGTACTGGTGTTTGACATTTCCTTTATGAAAGTGAAGTTTATGAAGATGAAGTTAATGAATAAGACTCATTTTAAAGACCTAGATGCTGTTACCATGCCCAAAACCATAGCCACACCCACCCTTGAAATCACAGGCATGCATGTGCACACACAACACGGGTGCACCTGCTCATCTAGTGGATGGTTCATACTGACTTGGACAGAACTGTGCTTTAGTTCTTGCTTCAGTCCCACGGCAGGAAGCAGAGCTGTTGGGAACTTGCTTATGGGAAGATTTTAAAGTGTGAATAGGAACTATTAAGGGGGAGGTGTATTTAACCCACAGCCTCAGGTACAAGCTCCTCATAAGAAGTGGCTGAGATTTCTGCTTTTCTGTCTTCTCATGCTTTCCTTATCTTAAAATGGAGACAGTGACAGCCAGGAGTAGCATCTGCATCAGAGAACAGGGCCGTGCTTCGTCTGTACCAGGAAAGAGGACAAAGGGACATAAATACTGCACTCAAGGCGAAGGCAGATAAAGAACCACACAGAAGGGACACCTGTTCTCCAGACATCCTGCAAGGTTTCAGGGAGGTGGTGACCCCATGGTGCACACAGGCAGGTGCAGAGCCAGAGTCTGTATTTTGGGCAGAAGTCACATGACCATAGGCACAGGGTGAACTTTCTTGTCCATGGCAGAGTGGAGTGAGTCAGGGAGGATGGGCCCTGTTGGGAAACCCCGAGTCACTGTGTGCTGAGGAACAGTGATGCAGAGGAGTTGGGGTGTCAGGCTTGCATTGGACAGTCTAAGTGGTGTATCTGCGCCCGAGCCATCCTTCCATGGCTATGGTGTGTGGAGTACTCTAGAGTGCTGCTTGCAGTTGTCAGTGCAAAGGAGGACCCTTATTGGAAAGATTACGGAGGGGAAAAGAGCTGTCTTTGGGGAGGAATAGGGAGAGACAGTTACACCAAGGAGATGGATCCTGTAGAAGGAAGGAGAGGATGAGGTGCCATTCAGGCTTTGTGACAGAGTAGATTACTGAGAAGCAGGCTGTGGGAGGAGCAGGTGAAGCTGTGTGTATGGGTGTCTGTGTGTGCAGAGAGAGAGGGAGGTAGGTAGGTAGATAGATGGACTGATTGATCAATCGATTAATCATACCAGACTCTTCCAGACTAGACTTTTGAGACAGCATTTAGGAAGAGGACCAATATGGTTGCTTGGGACAATACTGGATGACTGCACTTACTAGGCTGTTTCTCCTGAGCATTGGGAGAGGTCAGACTGAGCCCCTGGCAGTCTACCTATGTTGTATGGCTTGAGTTGAGGGAATGTTACATGTTCTTGTTACTGCCCTAGAAGCTGCTCTTTTTTGTTCTGGATTTCTTGGTGTTCTGGAATAACTTGGAGAAAAGGGCACTCTTGTTTCCACCTGCTCAGATTTGGCTCATGTGATGGTTCTGTCTTGGTGATTTGGTGGTCTTCCCAGTCTTCCTAGAGGTATGATATCTGCCTGGGGCTTGGAACAGTTTATAGTCTTCAGACCTTGACCCCTATCTCTTTGTGCTGTGGCATCAGGAAACCTGGTTTCCTTGGCAGTTAGTTTCACCCCTTTGCATCCTCCTGTGAACATGGCTGTAATCACCCTTGAGCATCACCGTAGGCTTTGCTTTTGCCCCTGGGCCAGGAGGAGAACTGCTGTGTCACAGATGCCTGTATATAGGACAGATGGCAGCAGACAAGAATATTTCAGCCCACATGAATGAGGTCACAGAATAGCCCCCCATTTTCCTGTGGAGGACCTTACAGTAGTATGATTCAAAGCAGAGCATTGTAAAGATTATTAGCTCCCAAACATGTTTGAAGTCATACCTTCTCACTAATGAGAAAAGAACCATACTTCCCCCAGTAGTAAGGGTCAGGGTTCACCCCATGGCCTGTTAAGGACGTCATTTCGTGTGTCATTACATCTGTATAAAATGGGTTATGGTTGGGCAGTGGTGGTGCACACCTGTAATCCCAGCACTGGGGAGGTAGAGGCAAGTGGATCTCAGTAAGTTCAAGGCCAGCCTGGTTTGCAGAGTGAGTTACAGGTCAGCCAGAGCTGTTACACAGAGGAACCTTGTCTCAAAACAAAACAAAACAAAACAAAACAAAACAAAACAAAACAATGGGTTGTGAACATTTACAGGAGCATTCCTTAATCTGGACAGTGTTTAAATTAATAGAAGGTCAGTGGACCTGTCAGCCACTTACCAACAGCAGTGCTTACATACAGTAACATGGCATGGGACTAGCATGAGCATTGCAGCATCCTTACAGAGGCAGAGGAAACAAATTACATGCTACACAAATGCACGTGTACATACATGCACAGACACTTGGGCAGAAATAATCCAAGCATTCTTTTGGCCCTAGAACTTTATATAAACCATCTTGATTTCTCTACAAGGAAATATTTAATTTTCAGGGAGTTGAGTTGAGTCCTACAGGTTTCAACCCAGAGTTGGTGATGCTAAAAATGCTAGAAAATGCGTTTTGAAATCATCAAAACTTATATCACGTTAGTTAGATCTACCTTGCAGACTTGTATGATGTTAGCTCTAGTTTTCTCCTAATCTTTTTCCTGCTCTCAGCTCCATGCTACAGATGAACACCATAGGTTAGAATGTGAAGTGTGGAGTTCCAGACATGACAGGCTAACCAGAGCACTACAGCTTGTGGAAGAAGAGCATCCTCTAACCAGCTCCAGCCTCCCTTCCGGTGTTTGTGATTTCATCCTCAGTCATCTTTGGGAGCAGGAGTGGCATTAAGAGGGTGTCATGAAGGCAGGGGTAGGAGGGGCTGAGAGGACTGACCCTAAAGCATTCAGTTAGTGGGATAGTGCACCTGCGTGCATGTGTGTGTGCATGGGTCCCCTGCCCTTATTTACTGAATATTTATTTACTGAAGCTCTTTACATGTTAAAATCAGAATTGCTTCACTAAAATTGAGTTGATAAAGTAATTAATTAAAGAGCCTGATTATCACTTTAGAGCCTAAAGGAAATCACTCTCGGGATGTCTTCCAATTAAAAATATGAAATGTGACCACACTGAAGTGGCGTTTTGCCCCACAGTTACCGGATGCTTTGCCTCTGTTCTAAAGAGATTTTTAATGGGCATATTGAAAACAGATTCTTTATGACCATCTACTGTTGGGCATCTCGATGCTGAACTCATTTCAGCTTGTTGCTTGCCTTTGCACTGCAAAGCTCCTGGTGCCTTGAGACCTTCTGCTGTGCTAGGACAGCTGTCAACATTGTCACTCCTAAAGCCTAAAGCCATTTAGAGGAGATGCCCTTGTACTAAGTGGGCAGTGTGTTGTCATCCTCTGAAGTGGTTTTTGTCATCCTCTGTGGTGCCTTTTGAGGTCCTAGGGACTGAATGTGCTGGGGAAGCGCTCTACACTGAGCTGCATTCCCAGCTCAGGAGTTCCTGATGAAGTTCAAGTCAGCTGGTACCTTGAGTGTGTGGAGTTAACAAAGCTTCCTGGGACTACCATCAGTTCAGCTTTGGTTCTAAAGACGCCAAGCATGAGTCACCCTTCAGCTACATTAGTGCTGCGTGGGGGCCAGAAATGACATGACATGTCTTTTCATTTACCTCTTTGTCACTTTCCTCATCAAAGTCAGAGTCTTGTACAGAAAGCCAAAGAATTGTATTTGGTGCAGGGGCAGGGGCAGTCTGGAAGGCCACAGGTGGACACGGAGACTCTGCTGGGTTGGCTGTGTCTCCTGGCTTGGGATCTAGCCCAAAATCTTGAGGGGTTTGGTTTTGTGTTTTTGAATTCTGCCTCTTAGAACAAAAGGTCTCTGTGTGGGGATCTAATGGAGCCAGGGTGAGTTTTCCAGTGTCTTCATGGCTGATGGCTGATGCTGAGCAGGAGCAGATGAGTAGGAATAGAGGAAGAAGTTCCTGATGAGCATGACTGCAGGGGTGAGGAGGTGCCATTCCTTTTCATCTGAGCTCCCAACTATCGGAAAGAGCCCAGAAAATTCCACAGCAAAAGTTTCTAAGTCCCTCCTCTTCACAGTCCCAAGTTTGTTCCCTCTGAACTCCATTCGAGTGGTGGCTGGTTTTGTTTGATTTGTTTTTGTTCTCTCCTCCAACATTTCAGAAAAGGAAAAAAACTAGCATAGCCAGGCAGGTCAAGTTTATTGCAAAGTCAGCACTTGCCCTGTCCCTGTCCCTGGTGGAATTTGGGGGGGCACAGGACCATGGATATTCTGTTCATCTCCGATGTGCAGGGGGAGGAGAACCATATAGTGGGGGGTTTCTGTGTAGCTCTGGGTGCTATGAGAAGTGAGGCCCCAACCTTCTCTTTATCAGATCTGTCCCTAGGAAGCAGAGCCTGATAAGCCAGGGTACTGGGATCCTGACCCTGGGCAGTGAGGCTGGGAACAGGTGATGGTGAACTTCCTTGTCAGCCCTGACTACAGGGAGCTGTGCTGGGTTTCATGGTCTCTATCTGACATTGGCACAGGCCTGCTGTGCTCACACTGTGAGTATTGTCTGAACCCGTGGTGTATTTACACTCAGAGTCTAGGGTTGTGAGGCAGGAAGAACCATTGCCGCTCTTCATCCTTGATGGTGACTGTGCACCATGTGCCTCAGGAAAGTGACATCTCCTAGAGTTGTTACTGGACAGCTCTGTCATGCAACCCGAATGCTGACTGCAGATCAGCTTTCCGTTTCCTAAGGGACACAGTGTAGCTGTGTCAGCTGCCAGATGAGAGAGCCTAAGCTATTAGAATAAATTTCCTCTGAAATGAAGTAAGTTGTCTTCAGGACAACCTTGTATGAACTTGACACCATGAACAGAGCTCACAGCGTCTCTTCCACTGAGACTCTCTGAAGCTACTGACCTTAGTGTTTAGACACCTGACTGTGACACTCAGTGCACCAAAAAATGGGCAACCTCCCTAGATGGATAAATAAGTTAGAATGCAAAACAGAAAAATTAACAGAAGGTTAAGATATGTAAGTAAGTGTGTGATCTATAGGTGTGCAGACGCCCAGCCTGGGCTGTATTTCTTACTGCCCTGATCATGTGCCCAGTCTGTTTTGTTTTCCGATTCCTAATGAGTGCCCAGAGAGAGAGAGAGAGCATCTTTTTTTTTTTTTCCTTTTCTTTTTATGCCATCAAGTGCTGAGTGAATTCTCAGCGGTGAACATGATCCAGATCACTTAGGGCTTATTGATTTTATGATCAGTCCTTAGGCTGCTGTTAAAAGCAGCTAGATTCCTAATCTATATAGGAACCTGTGGCGCTGCCCCCTTCAATGTGTTGTGAGCCTTGGAGGACTCACCATTTCTGCTCTGCTTTTTAGCAGACCTCAAGATATCCTAGTTAACCCTGGCTCATTTGTCGGCAGAACACTCATTTAAAGTAATGCTACAGTTGTTACTTGACCTCAGTGAGGAAGACATGAGTTGTTATCACAGGACCAAAGGGAACTTAAGATCTGCTCACAATTTGGGGTTCAGTTCCGTGCTGCCCATTAAGAGGCCAATTCCCAGAACCCTGGAAAAAGGAGGCCTCACCCCATTCCTGATCTCCAGCAGAAGATACAGGAGTGAGGATGGCATCTCCAGTCACAGAAGTTGAGGCAGAACTTAAGGGGCATTTGTTGAGGAGGCTGAGGATGCAGTGGATGTGAGATGAGCTTGTTGGGAGCCACAGGTTGTAAGACGGAGGGAGAATAGTCTGGTGAAGACTCACCAGGAGGGGATTAGCCCCAGACGCAGTGGCAGGATGGAAGAAGGGCTGAATCCTAGAGAGAGTAAAGCTGGAGTAATGGTTTTTTTTTTTTTTTCTGGGATACTATATAATGTTTTTTTGTAAACTGATTAATTTGAAATAAAGTGGTTTATTTTGTCCTTGTGCTTAACAGGGCCGGTGGGAAAGTCAACAGGATATATCTCAAACACTAGTTTCCAGCAGAGTAGCTCCAGGTCCTCCAGCAGCTCACCCTATTTCTCCTCAAAATAACCAGTCTCCTGATCCTGGTAAGTTTTCTTTGCCAATCACTGCCGTGAGATGTAAGTACCTTTCAGAGAAAGGTTCCATCAGGATGGGCTGGTGGTTGGAGTGTTACCTTTGTGTTAGTATGTTGGGTGGCATTGGTTTGGAAGGGTGACTTTACCCTGCATTTCCTCTGACCAATCGCCCCGTAACCCTCCTGGCTTGTTAATACAGATTTTTACATATGTGTTCTACAGGGACTCAGTTTTTACTTCCTCAGCAAATCCTGTTAGGTTTTGCTATCGTGATTGTGTTGGCCTCACACAGTGGCTCGGGAAGCAGTTCTCCCATCTTTTCTGCATGAGTTTCTGTGTGGTTGGTAATACTTATTCCTTAAATGTTTGACATGATTGCCCAGCGAAGTTGTCTGAGGCTGGCATCTTTGTGGAGAAGATGTTGAATTGTAACTTGGGTTCCTTATGAGACTGCTTTCATAAGTCCTAGTTTTCAAGGAATTTTTGTTATTGCCTAGATTGTTTATTTTCATAAATGTCACAGTATTATTCTCACTGTTCTTTTTGAGATGTATAGCCAGGTATGGGGGCACACCTTAATCCCAGCACTAGGAAAACAGAACAGAAGGATCTTGAGTTCAAGTCAGCCTGGTCTACAATGTAATGAGACCTTGTTGAAAACAAACCAACCCTCAAAACACCACAAGCAAACTAAGACAAACTAAACAAACAAAAACCTGGTTCTCTTCTCTAGAGCAGAAGTTAGTCCTTGTGTTAGCTATTGACAAGGAGTGAGGGTAGGTTTCCCTCTCTCACTGGCAGGAGCTCCGCACATCAGAGCATCTCCGGGCTTTAGTTATTGCTGTTCAGTTGGTGGAGGCTGGCTGTGATAATCTTTTTCTACTCATAATTTCAAAGATGCCTTTAGTACTTTATACTGCTAGATTTGCTTACAAATGACACTTGGCAAATGCGTAGAGCAAAAGTTATATGTCATTGTTTTTATTTTGTCCTGCCCCTTTCTGTTTTGTTGCTAGGACTGGGTGGCTTAGCTGCTTCTTACTTAAACCCAGTGAAGTCCCTGGTGCCACAAATGCCAAAGTTGCTGAAGTCGCTCTTCCCTGTCCGTGACGACAGAAGGGCCAGGCAGTCATCTCCCCTTGTGCACCAGGTAAGGGAGCCGAAGTGAACGTTTCCCTGATGTGTCACTGGCACCGTGATGCTGTTCCAAAGCTGGAGAGAGAGGGACAGCTCAGTGAGGGCATTAGAGCCTGTGATAATATCTCCTCCCCTCTCTTCCGATAACAGAGCTGTTTGAACATTTTGACACTCTATCCTTTCTGTTCCAAAACAAAACGCCAAGTCTGCTACAAATGTGATTTATGGTGATATCACTTAGTGCAACAATGGTCAAATGTATGAAGGTGCACTTAGTGTTGTTTATGTTGCCAAGTAGAAAATGTAATTCTATTTTTAAATTCTTGATTTCATTTTTCTTTCAAACAAGTTTGAATCATGGCTCCCCCTAACCTCCTCCTCCTCCTCAGTGGACAGTCAGTTCTTTGATTCAAACTGGTCACTTCCTTCCTTTTTAAAAACTTTCCCTAGCTATGGAGTAAGTACTACTTCCAGACTACCAGAAAGCTGCTTTTGTGCAGTGGTGAAAGGAACCCACTTGGAGATGCAGCCTCCAGTCATGCAAGCATTAGCTCATTAGAAAACGATGAATGAGGAAACACAACCCGTGCAGGTGCATTGTTGAAATGGTCTTTTGGCATCAGCTCCTCCATGTTTCAAATGTCCAGTTGGCAGGAATATAGGTCAGGAGCTGTTGGAGGCAAAGAGGCTCCTAAGGACTGTGTAGAGGCATCTTCAGGAGAGGTGGTGTTGGTGTCAATAAGCTGTTATGTATGTGGAGAGCTTCCTGCCCTGTGTGACAAAAGGTTGCATGTCAGTACGTGGAGCAGATGGCAGAATGAAACAGCAATTTTGTAAATGTTTAAACTGAACTTAGCTAGGCAGCTTCAGGGTCACATGACAGTCATGTGTGACTGGAGGGCTCAGCAGGCAGTGGTTTTTGTCACTATACACATACACTGTCTTAAAGTTGTCATTGTTTCATAAAGTATGATTTGAGGTCTATCTGATCACTAAAGTAATTGCACTTCCCTAGCCTATCCTGGTGACCCAGAGCCCATCTGGGGACAACCAGCATTTCACCTGCATTCATAAGCACCATAGTAACTTTGCATCAAGTTAGTGACCATGGTTTCTTAGCTGTTGATTAGTACAAGCAGTTGTCTAGATGGAAGGAAATGGGAGACATGTTGAAAACGAGGGGCTTTTGTTCAGCTATTTTCAGTTCTTAATAAAGCAAGTGAAAGCACTAGTTGCCTGTGCGCTCACTTCTGCTCACACACTGCTCACTCCTGTACCAAGCCATGAGCTCTAGATGGCAAGCGAACAGCATCCTGTTAGAGACGAAGCCCCTGATAGGAGTAGAAAGGCAGTCTGATGTTGTCCTGGAGATTTGGAAGGTTTTGCTGAGCAGCTTCTGCTCTCTTAGTGTACTTCAGTTTTGTGCACACACGAGCAGAGGTGCTGAGGCTGACCTTGTACAAACACTTCATAAATGTATGAAACATAAATTAACATTGGACTTAGTGACAATACCTGGTGCTATAGCTAGAACATTAGCTGTGATTTGTGAAGACGCCTCTCTCCAAGTCCTCAAGGGCACAGTCTCTGTCCTTCTCTGCATAAAGCTGTCAGCGTTGCTGTCACTAACAGCATGTCCTCCTCGGTGGCCTCTCCCAGGCTGGGTGTCCAGGTATCTCTGTATTTATTCACCTTTGAGCAGTTTTCTATGGGTAGCTCACTTCATTCCATGCATTAACTGTGCATATGAAGCAGCTGGACCTTACGTAGGCTGTGGTTTGAAACCTTCTGGACATGAAAGCAAATCTGCATTCTTAGTGTGGCTTGTAGCACTCTCCAGGAGTGAGTGCTTTCCTTTTAGTCTGTGTGTGCTCCCCGCCAGCCCCTCTGCCCCAACTCTGTGCCATTCTAAGATGTCCCACTACCGTTTATCTTAGGAACACCTGGAGCACATTTCATTCAGAGTTTCAGTCCCTGTCTTTCCTTCCAGTGCTGGCAGGCACTATGGTCTCCTGCATTGGTTTAGAGCCGGGCTGTCATGGAAGCACAGCTAAGTTCGAAGTCGCTTTCTCCATGAGCCAAATGAAAACAGCAGCCCCCACCAGATACACGCCTTCTCCCTGGGATTGCTAGGTTTCTGCTTGTTGACTGACTCCCTCTGGAGTATATCTCCAGTGGGCAGGGCTCACTTGCTCTGAATCAGCCTGGCAAGTCAGAGACACAAAGTCGTCTCACTGTCTACTTGTATGCACATAGATGGAGATGTGGCCCTGTGTGGACGGCATTGTTTATAGGTGAAAGGTGAGGCAGGCACAATGAGTATGGACTTGAGGTGTCTAGATGTATTGGTGAACCTTCTCCCCTAGGTGGATGGACATGCCACTAAAACAAATTCCCAAACCCTGGGTCTTTCACTGGGATTCAGTTACTCAAAATGCTCTCCCCACCTCCCGCTTACTCCTCTCTCCTAACCCCGAGCCACTGCCTCAGCCTCTCTTTCCCTACCTGTCTGCTAAAGCTCTGTAGGATGTAAATTATAATTAAAAGTGACAGTGTTACCATCGGTTTTCTCTCAACTTGGGCCATTTGAAATGTGCTTCGTGTTGCTACTTCTTGGATATACGTCTGTGGAAGTAGGTTTCAGTGACAGTGGAGGAGAAGGACCAGCTATTACTTCACGCTCTTGAAAATCTTGCATACCCGGTGGTTGAGATTTTGACTTTAAAAAAAAAAAAAAACCACAACTCTTCCTTGTGGGTTCTCCAAAAACGGGGCCATCTTGTTTGTAACCTTGGCTTCTGACTTTCTCTGTTCTGCTGGTAGAAGCCTAGGCAAGAGTGGTCCCTATTCTTGAAGGCCTGCTCCAGTCTTTGCAGTTCTGGGTTAGTCTGCCTTACCTCCTGTGGCAATGTCTTCATCTTTGTGTTGTCTTACAGGGGCCTTCAGGGGAGTGGGTAGGATAGTAATGTCCTGAGCTTGACAATGTGGAACTGGCTTATCTCATTTAAATGATGCACTTGTACTAGAGTACCACTGTTTTAGTTAGTGTTACTATTGCTGTGATGAAACACCGTGATCAAAAGCAAACTGGGGAAGAAAGGGTGTTTTTGACTTGCACTTCTGCATTGTAGTTCATCATTGAAGGAAGCCAGGACAGGAACACAAGCAGGGCAGGAACCTGTAGGCAGGCGCTGATGCAGAGGCCATGGAGGGATGTTGATTTACTGGCTTGCTCAACATAGATTGCTCAGCCTGCTTTCTTATAGCACCCAGGCCCACCAGCCCAGGGATGGCAACACCCACACTGGGCTGGGCCTTCCCACATCAATCACTAAGAAATGCCCTTCATCCGTGATTCTCAGTCTGTGGGTTGTGACCCCTTTGTGGGGGGTGTCAAACAACCTTTTTGCCAAAGGTCATGGGAAAAACACAAATGTTTATATTATAGTTCATAACAGTTGCAAAATCATGTTCATCATCAAGTGGCAATAAAAGTAATTTTATAGTTGGGGGATCACCGAATAAGGAACTTCATTAAAGGGTGGCAGCATTAGGAAGGTTGAGAGCCACTGACTTACAGGCTTGCCTACAGACAGGTTGAAGGAAGCTTTTCTCACCTGAGGCTCTCTTCTCTCTGATGTAGCTTGTGTCAAGTTGACATAAAACTAGCTAGCACAACCATTAACTAGGATTAGCCTACAGTGCCACTTACCCCGTGGACATTTTTGTTCTGTTTCCATTCTTGTCAATGTAGTTATTCTCTTTATTGATGTGTTAACGAATCAATACACAAAAACACTGAAATGGGGGAACTTCAAGCTGCACTTGGAGAAATTTGTTTTAAAATTCCCAGGATTATTTTTGAGTAGTTTCATTTTAGCTACCCTCTGCACACATTTCTTAGTTATAGGGTGTCAGGGTTTGAGGCACAAACAAAATGTTGACTGTATAAGGCCTAAGGCAGAGCCCTGGCACTGAAAGAAGCCACTCTTCAGCCACCGAGCCCCAGTCAGCTCCACATTAGGAACTGCCACCCACACTTCCCCTCATTGTGGGGGACTTAGTGGCACTGTAGAGCTAAAGGGAGTGCACACCTGACACTGGCTTAGTGCTCAATAACCCTGGTTGCTGCTTGGCTCTGCTATCACTCTGTGTTGGCATCTGATGTTGGCAACAGCATAGCTCGGTACAAGCACCCTGAGATTTTATTTGCTTCCAATGTTCCTTCCTTAAGTAAGAACAATCAGATGCAGTGACGTTTATAACATCACCCTAGATGAAGCCCAGACAAAGCTCATCAGTAGTGACATGCCTCAGAGGATGGCATCAGCTCTGCAGGGTAGGAAGGGGTGACAGTGACATGCCTCAGAGGAGGGCACCAGCTCTGCAAGGTAGGAAGGGTGGTTCTGTTGCTGATGTTGCTGGGACTTAGAGACAGATAGAGAGCAACACTATATAAGGCTTGCAGTATGAAGAGAAGCAGAGAGCCAGACTCAAACCTGCATAGCATGTTCAGGGACACAGGCCTTTTGTCATTGGAACCCATCTTTCACTTCCTCTCCTCTGAGAGGAATTGAGTGGCCTTGTTTGTCAGGATCACAGTTTAGTTTGGAGGCTTAGCACTTCCTTTGAGACAGTCCAATCACTCCAGGTTCTCTGGAGCCGTCAGCAGGCAAAGAACGTTGGAGCCATTGACTGCTGGAAACAGCAGCACAAGGTGACACTATTTTGGAGTAAATTGAAATGACCTATGAGGAAGGATCGAGGGCTGGTTACTTGACCCCACGGCCGAATGCAGTACCCTGGTGCCAACTCCACAGGGAAGAAGGACAAGGGTGACTTTGATGAAGTGCTGTCACAGGGAAATGGTATAGAAATTACCAGAGAATGGTGGCAACTTTGAGAGCGCAGCAATCATAGGCAGCTGGTGCCTGTAGGCGCTCTAAAACAGAGCCCAGGCTCCCATGTCTGAGTGAGAAGAAGATACACTGACCCAGGTGATGTCTGAGGGTA